ATAGAACGCAATAATTTATTGACGTTAAATATTTTAAGTTTATTTATTTACTAGCTACTCGCCGCGTCTTCGCACAGGTGTATTATATATATATAATACCTTCCTCTTGAATCTATCTATCTTTAAAAAAAACCGCTTCAAAATTCGTAGCGTAGTTTTAAAGATTTAAGCATACACAGGGACAGACAGCGACAGCGACTTTGTTTATTCAAATTCAAAATATCTTTATTACAGACTCTTATGATATGTCAAATTTACCGTCAGTTCGGAATGATTTGGAGACATCGGTGACAAGATGGTCGCGGGTTCGATTCCTCGCACGGCACAAACATTTGTATTCATGAGCATAATTGTATGTATCGGTCTGGGTGTTTTGTACATATATATGTATGTATTTACGAAAAAACAAATCTATGTATTTGTATCAGTTATCTAGTACCCATAACACAAGCTTTAGCTAGCTTAACTTGGGTCTAGATGGCGCTGTGTGAATTGTCCTGAGATTATTATTATTATTAATATTATGGAATGCAATAAACATTGAGTATCGACAACATGGCGGTTGCCTTCGTTTGTTGTGCTCCCAATGAGAGTACACAAGTGGTGTGCATGAGGTTTCACTTTTTCTGTTACACTTAACAGTCACTTCACAATCCACACATGTGCTCACTATACTCACTAAAACCAAACAAGTGCAATATGCACTACTTACCTACTTAATACTTAAGTTTATTTTAAGTTGGCAACTTAAAGTATAAATTTATATTTTACGTATATAAATAAGTATATTCCAGAGTTATGGTCCAGTTATTTAGTATCACAGTTTAAAAAAGTTGAGAGTTAAAAATATAGTTATGTTTTTCTGTCAATTTCAATGTTTAAATATTTGATTTATTATTTGATTACACACATACAAATATATAAAATAGGATCCTAAAAAATTATGATGCATATTTGGATTCCAAGCAGATTTATTCATATTTGCTAGATTTAAATGATATAAATGATCTGAATGAATAATCTTATTAGTTGTGTGCATTTGCCGGTTCTTATTATTGTATTTTACACTAGCTGTAGACACAACTTCGTCCACATGGAATTTAACTTTATTTTTCTAAAATAAAAGTAGCCTAAGTTACTCCTTATTACATCAACTACCTGCCAAAAAAAGTCCCGTCAAAATCGTTCCAGCCATTTCAGAGATTAGCCGGTGCAAACAAACAGACAGACAGACAGACAAAAATTGTAAAAAAAAATATTTTGGTGTATGTACCGTACTTATATTCATATGCATGTAAACAGACACTCCAACTTAATTTATATGTATAGATGTATAGATGAATCAAATCTGACAAAAGTGAATTGGTTGATGGTAGATAAATAAGGAAGAAAGAAAAAAATCAAACTTTAGCATATTTCTTTATACAAATTATTAATATAATGCCAGCGATGACCAAATAATATTTCTTTAATGTGTTCATTAAACACTAAAACACCTGACACATGTGTAGTAGTGGAGGCCATAGTTTTCGCACCGAGACAACAGTGTCACCTCCTTTTTCATACAGTAATTACCTCTATCTCGATGGTCAACCTCGGTGGTCCAGCGGTATAGCACACCGCTTTACATCCAATGGTTGTGGGTACTATTCCTCGCACGGCACAAACATTTGTATTCATGAGTATTGTTTGTGTCTGTCTGGGCGTTTTCTATGTATAATATGTATTTATTTACGAAAAAGAAATTATCTATGCACTTGTATCAGTTATCTAGTACCCGTAACACAAGCTTTAGCTAGCTTAACTTGGGACTAGATGGCGCTGTGTGAATTGTCCTGAGATTATTATTATTATTATCTGTCTCTCACAAATTATTCCTGAATATTTTTATTAATTGGTAGGTGTCATCTCTAGTTTTCATACAAAATAATCTCCATTTGTCTCTCACAAATTATTAATTGACAGAGAGAAATTACTGTTTAATTTAAAACATATATATCTTTAGTATTTTATTTTCTATGTAATAAATAATTGCACAATTATTAAAATATTTCAAAATCACCTCCATCACATAAAATTATATTTATTATTATTATTATTTATATATATAAAAATTTAAGTGTCACCTCCTTCTGATGGGTATTTAAAATGATTAACACAAAACCATATGACATTTTACAGCTAAACTTTACTTAGAAATCACTCTCCAATGGTTTGAAAACTACATGAAAATTTCCTCAGTATATTTTAAGTTTATTGCAACATACAGACAGCTGTGAGGAATGACTTTGTTTTATAATATAACTAACTATGCCTACAGTTTTTTCTGCATGAAACTTATAGCCTATGTGTTATTCTGACAAGCTATATCACTGTAAAATTTCAACAAAATCTGTTCAGTAGTTTCTGTGTGAAAGAGTAACAAACATCCATTCATACTCACAAACTTTCACATTTATTTATAATATTATTAAGATATGTATAAATGCAGACTTCCAGAATTATTAGCATACTGTGATCATGAGGCACTTTTGATATAAAGTTCATTAAAAGATGATAATTTACAACATTTAACAGTCGCAGAATAAAAGTACTTAAACTACATGAATAAGCTCACTCGCTGCATATTGGAGACATTTCAGTGTGTCAATACTGATTTAAAGCTTTGATTGTAATCATCAAAAACATTGAGGGAGGGAGGTGTTGCTACTCCCATCAGCAGTATTATTTTCTGTGTGGCTATTTTGATGTAGAAATGTTTCATTAATAAAGAATTCCCTTAAGAGATATAGTTGGGGTAATCAGAGACATTGGTGTGCTAACATTGTGATGAATGTAACATGTTCTATAAGGCAGACATTACAATAAAATGTAAGTTTAATACATTGTCAATATTTTGAATGATTTTTACTTTTAGGCTCTTATGACATAACACTAAATCAATAGTTTTAGTTAAGTCAACATATCTATTACACAGAAATATCGCCCAGTCTCTCTACATATTCATATAACATGTAAAACTGAATAGGTTCATGTGTAATGACATTTTCGCTGACACACTAACAAATCGATTTTGTTGAAAGGCAATTAAATTCTTAATGTGGGTAAGTGGTATTACAGTTTTGTTTCCATGCGGATTGCTGTAGCAACGGTGTTATTATAATAAATAATATGTTTAAAGAACATGACTGTGGCCTCCACAGATTTACGTAGAACGGTAGTACTCAGGCCTTCCTTAAACTGTAGTTAAATTTCTCTACCTTGCTATATTACATTCTTTTAAGTAAATAATTTTAAATAATTAGAGGAACATGTTAAACAAGTTTTACATGCTAACATACTGTAACAAATGGGAAATTTACGGTGATTTTAATATAATTAATAGGCGAAACGTACCTGCGAAGTTTAACGCAGCGCAACTCCTCCAAACTATGTCCACCTTCATTGTGTCGAAATAACAAAACACACAAACAAACACCTACATTAAGTCAACACTAGTTTGTTAAAACATATTAAAATAAATAAAAATCTACACTAATTAAATTAAATAATCACAAAAAACACAAACTATTTAAACTCAATACGTCATATAAATAAAAAAAAAAACAAAAACCATGACAAACGTTTGATCACAGAGTAATTTTTTAAATACTGCTTTGGCATTCCACTGGTCGACTGAAGCACTGAGCAAAGCCAGTGAGCGGTGCAAGTCCAGTACTAACGTTCACACTCACGAGTGAGTACTTCACTAGAAAATATTAGACTGAATTCTACGTGTATTCAAGGTTGCCAACCTTACAACACATACACTCATACAATAAATAAAATCTAAATTTCTTATAGTAGCTTAATTTGGTTCTTTAATCTCGTACATTATAATATTTTGACCTATTTTTGAAGGTAAATATTTTGTACAAAGTTATAGAAGGATGGAAATATTCTCGTATCGAAGGGAAAAAATTTTAAGTTTGTACGAGGATTATATTCGTATTGTTGGTATTCCTATATGTACGGGAGATTGAAAAACATGTCTGTCTATAAATATGTCAGTTATGTAATTCAAATATAGATAAATAAATAGTTGCATTACACTTTCATAAACATGGACTATACATGGGTAATATATTCGTATTCTATTGATTAAATAAATAAATTACCTTTCGTTCGCCCTGAACTAGACGGTAGTGATAGTACAAAAAATATGATGTACAAAAGAGGTAGGAAGATCGTAAATAATTATAATAATGATTTTTAAAAATTATCAACTTTAATTGATTAATACTTATTTATTTGTTTTCCGTTTTCTATGAATCATTTGAGAGTTTCAAATGCGAGCCAAATTGTACCGTTTGTAACGACACAATTCAGATTTCCATAAAAGATTAAGTAGCTCTGAATACAAATAATGAAAAGAAATAATTAGAGTATGCATTTTTTATTTATTATTTTATTTTATACGAATTATGTTTTAATACATGTAAATGAGCTTTAAGGTGACCTCTCTACATAGTGGCGTGTGGAGGCATTAAAGTTGTTAATACACTGATGCTGAGACAGCGCAATCTATTTCTGCTTCACCTTTATACCTGTTAGGCAAAAAAATACATTAATTTAATTAGACGAAAAATGTACTGATTTAATAATGTAAAACCTGTAAACTTTAAGTCGGTGCATTAAAGTTTCTGTAAAAAATAGTTTTGAAGTGATCATTAACCTAATTTAACTAATTCAAATTTCTGAACGACCTAAAATTACTGAACTATGCAGAAATACTATATTCCATTTCATGCAGTATAGAATATATAATATTTGCTGTGAATATGAAAACAACGTCATATTTAGGACTGTTTTTTTTTATTTTAATTATTTAATATCTATGTATAATGTTTTCTTACATAGCACACTGAACTTTTAATTTTAAAAGACTAGAAATTATTTTTTTGCGAAAATATGAATAGGAATGAAAAAATAAATGTTGCTATTTTTTTTGTAAAAAATGGCAGCCTTTATGTCGTAAGCTTTTCATTTCTTTTCTACTAATGAAAAGTTTTTATTACCCATTAATTGATGATCTATAATGTTCTTTGAAGTGATCCAAATGGTTGTCATAGTTTTTAAAGAAAATAAATAGATAACAAATAGTCTGAGTCATGATCATCATATTATAGTGAGTACTACGTGGTTTTCTCAACTAGAATTTTCCTATTTGAATAGTAAGAATTCGTTCAAACTCGACTATAATATTAAATTACTTCACTATATGTCCATATCTCTTCCAGGTGGTGTATATATGTGATCCAGTATTTATGCAAATGTTGAACGGATCGACGGAGTACAATATCAATAATACTGCTGTATCATCAGGACATAAAGACAAAATGAGCGCCGGGAGTGCTAGTGTAGAACGGGAGCTGGCGAGCACGCGGCGCTTGCTGTGGGGTGAACACGTTAAAGAAGATGTGTTTCGTCGGTGGGCTCAAGGCTTTCAGTTTAGCCCCGACGAGCCTAGCGCGCTCATCCAGCAGGAGGGTGGACCCTGTGCCGCTATCGCTCCGGTGCAAGGCTTCCTTCTTAAAATTCTTCTGTCTGAAACACCAGGACACAGTTTTCAGGACTTGACCTCAGAGAAGTGTAACTCTCTGCTTGTTAGGGCTGTGTGTACAATATTAAGCCAGTGTCTAGCACCTAAGTACAATGTGGCTGTGCATAGGAAGAGTGATGCGGACGCAGAGACCAGCACGGGCCATACAGTCAGTGCGGAGGAACAATCTTGTGAAACAATTGAACATTTTCATCGTAGGATCGAGGTGCATCCGTTTCAGACATTGTCTGAAGTGGAAGCATTCTACACAAGGAACATTCGTGTTTTGAAAGACAAATATGGTGTTCTGTTACTTTTGTACAGTGTCATTCTGAGCAAGGGTGTAGCGACAGTGGAAACCGAGTTGGCAGAACTCTCAGACCCATTGATACACTCCACGTACGGCTATGGATCTCAGGGCCTCATCAATTTGATGCTCACTGGTCGAGCTGTGGCACACGTTTGGGATCACGACCAGGTGGTCGGAGGGCTGCGGCTTCGAGGTATAGAAAAACAAAATGACATTGGTTTCCTTACAATAATGGAGCACATGCAATATTGTACAGTAGGTTCCTTCTACAAGAATCCAAAACACCCAGTGTGGGTGTTAGCTTCAGAGACACACCTTACTGTACTCTTCTCACTAGAACGGAGACTAGCCGCCCCAGAGACTGCAGGGGAATCAGCTGAACGTATATTTAGATCATTTGATCCTGAAGGGAATAATTTTATTCCATCTGCTGCACTGCAGGATGTGCTGTGTGCAGCGGATCTCGTCAGCGAGCCTGAATATGTAGAATTAATGAGGAGAAAACTGGACTCTGAAAACTTGGGCATCATCCTTTTGAGTGCATTCATGGATGAATTTTACCCGGGATGCGAACGAGGTGCTCCAGACACCTTCACCCTCCACCACTACAACGGGCTGTCGCGCAGCAACCCCGCGGGGCGGGTGACGTACCGCACCGGCCGCGCAGCACTACTAGAGTGTCCCATGCGAGCTGCCAGTGCAGATCCCATGCTCACGTGTTTGCAAACCAAATGGCCAAGTATCGATGTGGTCTGGGACGATGGACAGTCCCCGTCTCTCAATTAGCGAAGCTCAACCCTTTGTTGATGACCTTATACTCGGAACTTGTACTGTGACTGTGAGAGGAAACATTAAAATGTACTTTAAAATATGTCACCGAAAATTCCATTACTTTATTGTATTAACTTATGTAAAAAATTGTATCAAATGTCGAGGCTCCGTTGGCCAACACACTGTTTGGGCAGCTATTTTGCATACAATTGGGAATGCCTGCCATGAAAAGTATATTTTATATATTACTTTATGTATATGTCTAGTATTCAATGGTTACAAGCTGCCGTCAAAGGTGATCTGACAAATTGAGAATTAATGCTCAGTTAATGATTTCTGAATTTGAGTTAAAATGTTGATTTATAAATTTATGTTAATTATCATAAGAGGCAGTATGTTCAGTTTTTCCCAGTCAATTGCTAACCTAGGCACAACTGTTAGAAGTACACCATATAATTTCAATCTATTTATGAGTATTTGCTACACTTAGAATTATTAATTGCACATCCAGTCACATGTGACATCCAATATATTATACTTGCTGTGTTCTCATAACTTAATGTTCCATTGCTGTGTGTAATATTATGGAATCCTTCACAATATGTAGATTATTCAATAAGTGAATGTACTATTATTGTATTTAAATGTTTCAAACACATTCAAATACAATAACATACAATATGTATGCAATATATAATAGAATAACGAGCAATATTGTATTGTACCTCAAAACAACGCTGCCAAGTATCTGTTGTAAATATGTCTGTTTTTGTACTTATGTAGTACTTTAAGTAAATAATCTGGGCTGTAGGTACTTTATTTAACATTGTCACTTGTGTACATAAATATTTTGTAAATTGTGCGCCCGCGCCGTCGTGGACACCCTGGGAGCAATATGTGTTACATAAATGACATTCATAATAATGGGTATGTAAAGAGCTGTAAATACCTATTTTTAGAAAATAAATATTAGCTCTAAAATATTCCAGTTGTTATTTTCAAGGCCATGTAAGTTTGGACAATATATCAGCTCAGAGAGAATTTGTCACTGAAAATAGCGTGTTAGTGTAAGTGAGCCTACGTTATGTATAACATGTCTGGTATTTGGATATATTTGAATCCAATTTGTGTAAAATAGCTGTGCACACTGGTGTCGCAACATGGAAAGTATAATTATTAATACAAGATATTTCAGTTAGTCATAACATACATACATAGTGTAAACATGCTTTTTTTAACTACAAAACTGAGTTTTATTTTGTATGACTTTGGTATAAAAAAATTATACGCTACTTAATATGCTGTTTATTTATATCGTTAGGCTAAGATTCTTGAATAAAATATTATTGCGATTATAAATTGAGATGTAAGCTATCCTATCTTTCAAGTTGGATCAAATTTGCTATCGGTTACATCGCGGACAAACAACGTGACCCGTTATCTATACATATAAATAAAATTGGAGTGTATGTTTGTAATATTGAAATAACAGTTTTTTACTACATGCATATTGAATATAAATATGGTACATACACCAAAATAACATTTATTACTATTTTTGCCTGACTGTTTGTTCCGGCTAATCTCTGGCTGGACCGATTTTTTTGGCAGGCAGCTCATGTAATAAGGAGTAACATAGGGTACTTTTATTTTAGAAAAATAAATTTATATCCACACGGACAAAGTCGCAGGTACAGCTATTGTTTAAATATAGTGATATAGACGTCCTCGGTTGACTAGTGGTTTAGCAGTGAATTTAGCACTACCTTACTCGGATTCGTCGCCCTGTACAGACATTTGTATTTATAAGTATGGTTATTTATATTGGTCCGGGTTTTTTTTATGGATGATACTGGAATGATGCACCCCCCTGCACTAACGGTCTACGCTGGCGGGGCACCAGTGGAGGATGATAAGATTTTAAGGAATTGGTCACGATTATGATGGTGTCCAGAAGGATCCGCGTGGAGGTCAACCTGACATGGTACACGGCTAGTAATGGAGTTATGAGTCCACATTACTAACAATTCCTTTCCCCCCTATTGGCCTGGTTTTTTTTATGGATGATAATGGAATGTTGCACCCGCCTGCGCTAACGGTTTACCCTCGCGGGGCACCAGTGGAGAATGATAAGATGAGCATGAGGTCAGGTCAGTTAGCTCATCGTGACTTTATTTACCTGGAATTTATCACGATGGTGTCCAGGAATATACGCATGGAGGTCAACCTGACATGGTACACTGCTAGTAATGAGGTCGAGAGTCCACATTGCTAACGATCCCCTTTGGTATGGGTTTTTTTTTTTTGTGGATCATAATGGAATGGTGCACCCGCCTGCGCTAACGGTTTACGCTGGCGGGGCACCAGTGGAGGATGAAAGGATGAGCATGAGGTCAGGTCAGTTAGCCCATCGTGACAAATTCACCAGGAATTTAACACGATGGTTTCCAGGGGGAACCGCGTGGAGGTCGACCTGACATGGTACATTGCTTGCAATGGGGGTTATCAATCCACATTAACAATCCCCTTCGCCCCTTCTTTGGTATGGGTTTTGCCTATGTATATTATGTATGTGTTCACAAAATAAAATATTTTTAAGTACTCATACACATAACAATAGTTCTGCTTAGCTTGGGACTGGACGACGCTGAGTGGATTGTCTTAGAATGTTATTATAATTAAGCGATTTTAACACTTGTCCTTGTCCGCCTGGCAGTCCCTAGCTTAGCAGAGTTTATAAATACAAACATACATTCTGTTCATAATTATATAATTAACTTGCTGTGGTGTGGTTTCATCCTTGTGAAATTTATAGCCTATATGTTATTCTAATGTATAAGCTATATTACTGAAAGTTTCATCAAAAGCTGTTCAGTAGTTTTTGCGTGAAACATCCATCAATACTCACAAACTTTTACGTTTATAATATTAATAAGATATACATAGAAAACATCCAAATTGATAAAAACAATCGATCAAATATTTGTACGGTGCGAGGAATCGAATCCACGATAATCGAAAGTAAAACGTACGTATATATAAACGTTTAAAAAAAAATATCTTAATGGTAAAAAATTAAAATCTGTTGCTAGGTTTTAAAGAACTAAGCTGACAAACAGACAGATAAATGCGACTGTCTTTATCCCCCGTCCAATTCAAACGGGGGTCGAAATTATGACGGCCTGACGAGGTTCGAACACCTCGCGGTGCCCTCAGACTAAAGTCGTATCCGTCAGGCGGGAGTTGGCCTTCAGCCGCTCCATAAGTCCTTCCTTGGTTTGGAATGCCATCTGCACTCGCCCCCTAACATCCGGTGAAGCTGTAAAGGCCAGCTGCGGTCAACAGCATTAGAGTGGTCCGAAAAAAAAAAATATTATAAAAATTTTACTACGATGGACTCCCCGTCTAATTCAAACGGAGATCGATATTACAACGGCCTGAGCCGAGGTTCGAACCCGACTACTGCTCTCAGACTGAAGTCGTATCCGTCAGGCGAGAGTTGGCCTTCAGCCGCTCCATAAGTCCTTCCTTGGTTTGGAGTGCCATCTGCACTCGCCCCCGCTTCGGTGAAGCTGTAAAGGCCAGCTGCGGCCGACAGCAACATTTAAATAGGTAACAAATACATTGACTTACATACGTTCCCATATTTATAATACATATTATTATAGATATCGATAGGGAATTCACCCCCACAATGAAATGTAAGTGGTCTCGGACAGTGCGGTTTCAGAGGAGCTTCCTCCCGCACTGGTCGTAAACCAATGTGTGTTGCCAGTGATGACTTACGGCACAGAGACGTGGTCGCTAACTATGGGTCTCATGATTGTTCATGAGTCACTCAGTGGGCTATGCTCGCAGTTACTTTGCGTGATCGAATCAGAAATGAGAAGATCCGCTGAAGAACCAGAGTGACCGACATAGCCCGAAGAATTGCGACTCTGAAATGGCAATGGGCAGGGCACATAGCTCGTAGGACAGATGGCAGTAAAGTCCTCGAGTGGCGACCACGGACCGGAAGACGCAGCGTGGGAAGGCCTCCAGCAAGGTGGACCGACGATCTGGTCAAGATCGCTGGAAGGCATTCAAGGAGAACCGATCGTCGTGGACATCTTTGGGGAGGCCTATGTTCAGCAGTGGACATCTTCCGGGCTGCGATGATGATGGTCAATAAATAATTAGGCCTTTCTCCCACACTTTTTATTTGAACATATGTAGTAACTCTGATCATTAATTTTCTATTGCCAATGACACTCGTAGTCTTGTGTATGTAATTCGCGACAAGGAGCGCTGAAATTAGTTCGCAACTCTTTTGTGAACTGGTTTACTCTAAACCCTCCAAACTATAGTCAAAGAAGGCCAATATACTAGTTCAATATTAATCGCCTAAAAATATAACGCCTATAGATGGAATAAATGTTTGTTTTTTAAATACTATATTTTAGAACTCAAGTATACTACGTTTTTTTGGATCACAATTACGATTTTTTTTCCAGCACATTTCATGTTTTAGTCTGATTTAGCAAGACCTCTCGAGTATTTTATAAAACGAACAAAAGAGCGGAAGATCTGCGAACTAATTCGCACAGTTCGTATTTGGGTGCGCTCTATTATAACTATTATAGTCGCGATTTCGTAAAACTGATTCAGAATAATTTACTAACTTTTGTTTATAATTTAAAAATAAAGAATTAAGAAATAAATTGATAATTATGTAAAAAATTATTCAAACATCTTTTAAATCATTTATATATAAAAATTCTGGCAAATTGAAGCATAATACTATTTTTACTTTAACTTGTTAAATCCAGTTAAATTGTTTAATATATTTTCTTGTGAGTATTCCTCAGAGGGACAGTAAGTAATTCCTCGGTTATCTGTCATCACATTTGATATCATTCGAGAGGCCAACAAAGTGTAATGATGACTCCGGAAAAAAATATTTTCAAAAAATATGCCACGGACTACGATCCTGTTAAAATAGCCTCTATCGACGGTATGTACCTGTATAATATTTATTAATATTTCGAAATAATATTCATCACACAAAGAGGGCTCTGCCCTTCATACCACAAAAACGGTATGTTATCAAGATGCAACACCTGTTGCCCCTAACAGAACATTAGAACCACAGAAAGAAACAATCTTAGCATTCCATGGACAAACTGTGTGGGTCCCGGGTCCATCGTGTGGGAGAGAGGGAAAATCTGAGCAGATCCCGGGAGTCTGCTAGCGCAGCTTTAAATACACCTTCAAATATAGAACTTACTGTAGTCCTGGACTGGGCAAGTTCTTTCAGAAGAGTGTAGAGACATTCTGCTGTCTTCTCTTACTCACTTGAACTGGATATCAATTAGCCATAGCTGTTTTTAGTTAATTCCTTTACAAGTTTGTAATAGTTATTTGCTTTTATTGCACGATTATATGTATTGTATGTGTTGTACTTTAGTTATATGTATTGTAATGTAAATTGGACTTTATATTCTGCAACCAGCCTCTCATCTTTGTAGAGCCGAGACTACTAGAGTAGCCAGCGAAGCTCCTCTCAAAAGCGCAGAAGTCTCCTGGGGTCTTCACAGGCTTCACGGAGCAACCTCACCATTCCGAGGATTGGTTTACGTTGTATCACTACTGCTACATTTTTGTTTCCATTATAGGCACAGATACTGAGCCCCACGACCGTGGCGTGGTGAGAGCGCTGTGCTCAGAGTATGCACCCAATAAGCTGGTGAAGGGGGATCCACAGCGGACCCTGTTCATTGCTAGACTCAACCCAAGAACTACACAGGTACAAGTGTTAGGCTTATAGTTACTGTATGCTAGGGCCATAGTATAGTTATGTACTCTTTATTGATTCTTATCTAATGGCATTGGTGATCTTGGAGTTTATTACACCTCTACTTCTGATAGTTGTGGGTTTGATTCCTTACAGTGTAAAAATTTGTATCCATGAGTATGTATTATTTGTATTGTTCTGGTGGTTTTCTATATATATGGTGTATGTATTTACAAAAAAATATATGTCTAAATATAAGTATTTTAGTATTATAATCTACATCAGTTGAGTTGGGTACTACAACCCATAACAGCAGCCTCGGTGGTCCAGTGGTTTACTATCTGATGATTGTGGGTTCGATTCCTCGCTCAATACAAACATTTTGTATTCATGAGTATGATTGTTTGTATCGTTCTGGGTGTTTTCTATGTATAATATGTATGTATTTACAAAAAAAATGTATCCATGTATTTCTATCAGTTGTCTAGTACCCATAACACAAGCTCTGTTTAGCTTGGGACTAGATGGCGCTGTGTAAATTGTCCTGAAATATTATTATTATTATTATAACACAAGCTCTGCTTACTGTGGGACTAGATGGCACTGTTAATTGTCCAGGCATTTTTATTTATTCTTATTTAATCTGTGAATTTGTTTTACAGGATACAATACAATCAGAATTCTCAAAGTTTGGCAGGATTGTCCATTGTCGCTTGGTCAAGGATATAGTGACAGGCAAATCCAAACAATATGCTTTTGTGGAGTACGAGAGTTATAGCGACATGGAGAAAGCTTACAGAGACATGCATAAGGAGTACATTGATGGTACTGAAATTATAGTAGAGCGAGAAGCAGAGAGGAGACTGGATGGGTGGCGGCCGCGTCGATTTGGGGGTGGATTTGGTGGACAGAAAGAATCAGGACAACTCAGATTTGGTTGCAGAAAAAGACCTTTTAAGAAACCATTAATTATTACATAAAGTTAAACATACTCAGTGTTTATTTACTAAACAGAATAATTCATGTATTCCTAAGAGTACCCTATCCTGTCCCGTGTTTGTCTGTATACAAAAACCTCTTCCGTCTCTTATTCTGGCATATTTCATCCAGTTTGGTACTGATTTTGATGTTTCAGTAATGTTTAATGAGGTGGTCTGATGCCACCTCATTTATTTCCTGTTCAATTCTATACAGGAAGAAGACAATCTATAATTCAAGGCTATATTCTTCTCAAGATAAAAAATTTATAGGAACAAATTAAATGTTGAACTCCAAAAAGGTATATAATATAATCACCTGGGCCATGGTGTGTCAATGTCTGAATGTAATAACTTTCTATAATGGTTAATTCAGTAAGATAATGTGCAATGAGTGTTGCAGACGAATCAGGGGCTGGTGCAGGTCATTCACACTCACTGAAGTATTTCTGTCCATTTTAGAAGCTGTACTCCTCATGGTACTGACAGCATTTCTAATATTTTTGATACTTCACTTTTTAGTCTGTTCTGAAAAAGACAGTTTTATAATCACTGCTACATCAAAAGCTGATGAAGCAACCCCAAATACAATTAGCAAATTTAGTTTTAAAACTGTACCACCTCATGTAAAGTGCACCTGGAACCAATCACATAAAACTGCGCCGGTTACCAATTATTATGAACAAGATCTGTTGCAAGAAACTAAAATCCTTATTGAACATACTCTGAAACCGGATGCTACAATATCTTCTGTATATTCTGAACTGCCAGTAGAAGGGGTTTCTACATCTGCCTCATCCAATTCCAGTGATGATGGATCAGATTTATCAAATGGAAAGGAGGCTGTCCAGGAAAAGCAATATATTTTGGCGTTAGTAAAGATCAGATCCCAATATATAACATTTGGGTGTATGCTAACTATCATCACAGAGTACTGGGTGTTGACTGCAGCCAGCTGCATAGAAGCAATAGAGGAAGTGGATTCATTAAACTCATTTGTGATGATGGAAGGTTACGGAGAGGTGAAGCAAGGAAGAGCACACATAGTGAACGACGTTAGAATTCACCCTTGGTACCAGGGGGCTAACATGAGTTATGATGTAGCAGCTCTTAAGAGCGAAGACCGTCTCATCAACGAAGGCGACACAGGTCTTGCTCTGTCCACATTGTTGGATTATTATACAATCACTCTTGGAGAGAAGCTCGTGCTTCTTGGATATGGGAAATATAGGTGAGGACTGTATACTCTGTTTTCTTATATGATTCTTAAATAGAAAAATTGCTAGCCGTGCCCGCGGTTTTCGCGTGATATTTATAGCCTACTAGCTGTCCCGGCAAACGTTGTTTTGCCATATAATTAATAACGCTATAAAAAATAGGGGTTGATGATAGAAGGAAGGAAGGAATGAAAATTTAGGATTGTATGTTGTATCATAAGAAAATAGAAACTAAGAATTTTTCTAATAAATAAATAAAAATTTAGGGGAGGACTACCCCTAACATTTAGGGGGATGAAAAATAGATGTTGGCCGATTCTCAGACCTACTCAATACGCTCACAAAATTTCATGAGAATCGGTCAAGCCGTTTCGGAGGAGTATGGGAACGAAAACTGTGACACGAGAATTTTGTATATAAGATATGTTATTTTGATGTAAGCTATATTACTGTAAAGTTTTATCAAGAAAGAGTATCAAACATACTCACAAATATTAGTGACTCCATTGCTAGCAATGTACCATTTTAGGTCCACTTCCACACAGCTTCCCTTGGAAATCATCGTGGTTAATTACTGGTAAATTAATCATAATGGGCAAAGTAACCTAACCTCATGCTCATCTTATCATCTTGCACTACTGCCAGGTTGTGTGCCAAGCTGTGTCCCAGTATGAATGGCAAGATATTATTTATATCTCCAATCGACTCCTACCGGTGTCAAGTAATTAAATTAGATTAAGATAAATATTATGTAAGAAAGATTTAATCATAGCATGCTTGATCTAGAGATATCCAATATTAAAAAAAAGTACATATTTTATTAAAATTAGGTGTTATATTGCGGAAGACAATTTCGCTGCTTAATGGATCTTGGGATATTGGGGGGCAGGTATTTGTTAGTGATGTGGACTAGTGCCCCGCCAGCGTATACCGTTAGCGCTGGCTACTAGAACATTCCATTATCATTTATTAACAAAACTGACCTTAATTTGTTTTCTTGTTTTGGTTGGCCCTAGATTTTTATATATCTGCCTCGTGTATAAGATCGTAGTATACGATTACAGGAGAAGTAATGAGAGCCAGCAGGGGCGCGGGCTGCGCAGGGTGGAGGTGGCGGTGCTGCCGTCGCGGCGATGCTCGGTGCGGGGTGGCGGCCGCGAGGTGTGCGCGGGGCGGCCCCCGTGCGGGCGGTGCGCGGGCGCGCCTCTGCTGCGGGGGGCGCGCCTGCTGGCGCTGCTGCCCGCCGCCCCCCGCTGCCGCGCCGCCTGCCCCCCCGCACGGTACGTCAACCTGCCGCTACTAGGGGACTGGCTCCAGGCTGTCGTCGGTCCCGATTAGTGGCCCCCCCCCGGGTGTGCTCACAAACGAAATTAACGAAACTTATGTATCCATTTTATGATTACATGTTAATAAGGAAGCATATTTAATTATATTAAATTAAAATGGTTTTATTTTTAAACAATACTTATAATTTTCTACTTATTATACTACGATAAAACACTATGGGCGTGAGGATCTGTGTTAGTATGGAGTGAGTTCAACGGCGGATCCAGGGGGGGGATTCTCTCATACGCATAGATTTCTGGTATTTTCACTCTACCACACAGTTCAGTAAAACTGGAACGACGATGAACATCTGTTGTAGGTTAAGTGAACTGTATGGAATGCTGGTTCATAAAGTGGGTTACCCGACTTATGTAGAGTAGGGAAGGACTACTACGCAATCCTTGCCTCGTAAAGTAAAGGACTTCGGGTAGAAGTAAGGAAAGCACAACACGTACTTACGATCGTAGCGCTGGAATCATGGACACCTGTAGACTCGCTGAATGGACACTAAGTAATTACTACCTCAAGCACACACAAGCAATATTTTCTTGTATTACAGTTTTAGGATCGTCGGACGAAATGTCACCATAATTATTCCTAGCAACGGAAGCACGATAGTGCGACTTCGGCAAACCTCGGTCACTCGTGCGCAGCATTCATATTGCCGTCCCTTTCTTTAAATTCCACGCGCAATGTGCGGAAAAGAATAGGATATAGAGAAAAGAAAGTGCCATACCCGTCAAATGCTAGAATAAAAATGGCGCGAACAATATCATTTGAGTATTAGTGTATGAAAAAGGATTCTATCAAATGACAAGATATTGAAATAAAAGAATAAACGGAACCTACAATCTCCATTAGACATTCAGAGATATAATAAATAAAAAAATAATACTAAAAACATTAAAAACTATAAAATAAATCATAAATTACTTTGTCTTTGGAGTAAGGGCATGCGTCAGTCCTTTCGACGTGAAGGCCCTTGTCCATTCAACCTTTGGGTTGAGGTCGTGCATTTGGAGTCGTCTAATCGTCTGCCGGACGGAAAAACTCGCAGTTCCGTTCAATATATATTTATAAATGATACATAATAATTAGCGATTCTTATAATATTATAGTTAATGACCAACATAATTTTTTGTCACCGGCCTTTTCGCGGGAACCTACTTTCTGTCAAAATTGGCGGTGTTGCCATATGTCTATATTTGACATGCCAAAGCTGAAAATCAAACGGGAATATGCTGCGAAGGTGGATGTACAGCTGATGTTAAATGAACAAGGCGGTGTTGGTGTGCTCGTTGCTAATGGCGCTGTTCGTGGTGGCCACCATTACTGTTGCCGTCCTGCAGTTCGTGGCCGCGCAGGATCTCGCTACTAATGACTACGTCTAAATAACGATGCGTTTTTGTGGTTTTCAAATAAAGTTTCGTATATATATTATTGTTTTTCTTTAATATACACTATATGTGAGGTCATTAGCACCCGATATACAAGTAGAGAACGAGTTTGTGTGTATATTCATACACACAAAATAAGCAGGCTTAATTATGGAGTATGTTCATTCTTATTATGGAATCGAAGACCGTATCTCTATTATTATATTATAAGTCAATAAAGTCCTTCTATCTACGTTTTTATAATTATAAACATATTTTAGAGGTCCAATTAGAAGCTTACACGTTTATCGTCACAAAAATAAATCTCCTTCTACAAGATTATATTGATTAATCGACATCACAGAAGACCGAAGAGCTGGCAGCTACCTCGGACAAAGAATTAGTCTAGCCATTCAAAGAGGGAACGCTGCCAGTATCTTCGGAACCTTGCCTAAAGGGACTCCTTTTGATAATATATTTTAGTTATTATATTATATTTTTAAGGTTTTTAATTTTAAGTTCTTACTTGTACAATTTAGTTATTCATAATTTTTACAATTTGGACATCTTACGCTCTTTCTTTCTTTTCAAATGTATCATACAACGCAGTTGGCATATTCCATATTCTGGCAGTTTATTGCACATATAATTCTGAAGTTATATTGACCACGAAGAACTCAGTAAATTACTTTCAGTAATAGTTTTAATTCTTATATGAATGACCGCCAATGCCCGCGGCTTCGCTCGCGTTAATTTATCCTCTTAGGGGTGGAATTTATCAAAATCCTTTCTTAGGGGATGCCTGCGTCATACTAGCTTTATGTATGCAAAGTCTCAGCCCGATCGGTTTAAAATTGACGAAGTTTCATACAAACTTTCATCCCATATTTTATCACCTTGGGGGTAGAATTGATCAAAATCCTTTCTTAACGGATGCCTACGTCATAACATCTACCTGCATGCCAAATTTCAGCCCTATCCGTTCAGTGGTTTGGGCTGTACGTAGATAGATCACTATTTATTTATTTATTTATTTATTCTTTTGCACACGAAAATGTATACATGGCGGACTTAATGCCTGATGGCATTCTCTACCAGTCAACAGTCGCGTTGATCAGAGATAATAAGGCGGTGCACTTTAATAATTAATTGAAAGAAAAAAAAAAACAAAAATTATAACAAATAGATACATAAAAATAATACATATATATACAGATGCAAATATATAAAAATACTAACTAACTATGTCAGTCAGTCACCTTTGAGTTATATTTAGATAACGGAACAGTGCACCCGCTTGCTTAACAGTATACGCTGGCGGGCAATTAGATTAGTTAGCCCATCGTGACAAATTCACCAGGAATTTGTTACCATAGAGTCAACCTGACCATTATTGGTAGTAATGTGGTCCACTGTCCACATTACAATCTCATCTCCTTATTGTTTAATTCAATCGACTGAACATCGTCTTTTTGAAAAATAATTTTTTTTGGGTATATTGGTAGAAATAATACGCAATACGATAAGCATTAACATAAACAGTTTATTTAAATATCTTCCATGAATTTGAATGTTATTATAATACAATTCCGAATACATGCAAGTGGGGCGAGCCGGCCGTCGCCGTCGCTTCAAATATACAAATAGACCGCGCCGCACAACCTCCGCCGACCCAGTTACTTTACTAAGGCATTTAATATATTATACAACCTGTCCTTCCTATATACCTACATATATCTGGATACATACATTACTATCTGTACATACAGCTTAATATACACAACATTGGACAAAAAAGGATAAGTAATGCTACAATAATATAATATAGATCTGTGGAAATCGAAAATAGTTTATTTCTCTACAAGTAGCGACAGAGAGTTCTATTGCACCCAAATAAAGCGAAGGAAACCTGACGCCAACTGTACGTGATACAAATTTGTATATTAAAATTCATATTTAATTCCGAAATTCATTCATTACAATTGACACCGATCATTAGGAAGATAAAGCAAATTAACTAATTGTAAAATAAATTGAAAATTGCCACATAATTATTATATAAATAAAATATATGTAAATTTATTCGACTAATCCATTGAGTCATTTAAAAATGTTTCTCAAATTATTACAACAATCCAATAAGTTTGACAGATTTAAAACAAAAATGGTAATATAATTAATAAATAATTATTCATAACGTCAGTTACAATGCATCGTGGACGAGCTCCCGTGCGTGACGGTCGCGTCTCTTGAAGGAGTTGCTTCAGAGGAATCCAGGGTTCAGAGAAGTTCTTACAGACGTCGTCCAGATACATAAGTCAGTACAATTTTTTGCAGTGTGCTCTAATTTCAATGATGCCTTTTTTATTGGTTGCATTATAGGTTCCATGGAAATGTGAAAAATCTCTAAGTTAAAAAAAACATGTTTTTCATTATTTTCTGAATACATTGGGGACATATATAATTTTTTAACAATTTTTCTGACATATATGTGTGCTCTTGGAGTAACACATAGAGATACTATGCTATATGTTTCTTATAATAACTTTAGATGACCTATCTATGATGTATCTATAAAGACGAATAAAGATATTTGTAAAAATCAATTGTTAAATGAAAACCATCCCCAAAAGGGTCATCTTTCTTCCACTTTCTAGTTAATTTTTTTTTCATAATTACATACAACCGGTTTCGGAAAATTTATATACCTTTTTTTTTATGGATTACCTGAACAGACGACCACAGACGCTAAATAAAGTTGTGGCGCCCGTGATACTTTACATGTGTTGCCATTACTAAGGACTAAATATCTCGGTAATATCAATACAATAAAAAAAGAATCGTGAATTGACGCAAAATGCAAAAAGTTATACGTTGTGGAATCCTTAAATTATAGTGACTATTGTCTCATATAATCATACCCATAATACATTATTATAATATCAATTGATTTACAAAAAAAATTCTCGATTATATATTAGTTTTGCGACGCAATATACGTGACGTCACACACGAGTGGTAGCGTAAGATACAGAATGCACAGATTTTTACGGAACTGGAAGAGCACCAAATTGGCGTCTCACATGATTAAAAAAAAAACTGCCAACTGTCAACTATATACATGACCAGTACAGATAATGTCATCACGCTACGCCCATGGCCTCATGTGTTGCCATATATAGGACACACATCAGACCACAGATATATATGGCAACTAACTAACAATATAAAACAAATACGTCAGTAATTCGGCTCTACACGGTCTAGTAATGTCGATAAACTACGATTAAAAAATCAATAATTGTATTGAATACTTCTATCTATTAAATATTTAGATTTATTTCATTAAATTAATTACACATCATTACAAATAGGTTTATCATGACTAACGAAAAGCAATCTTAAGTTTGACAGATTAAAACTGTAATTTCACTGACATATACGCTTTTAACTGAAATATAGCTTACAAGAGAAGCTGCTTGACTGCAGAAGTAGATTAGAGAGTTACCTTGTCTCTCTACTTCGTTTTAGATAGTCTCAGATCGTCTTACTATGCATTCTGTAGGACCACTTTGCTTTTAACTGAAATTTTGGTTACAAGTGAAGCTGCTTGGCTGTAGAAGTAGATGAGAAAGTTATTTTATCTCTGTAAACTCTACCTCTTTTAAAATAATCTCAGAAGCTCTTACTATGTTTTTTTTAGGACCACACTTAGGCTACGACCGGTGTGTGATCGTGTTATGGTACAAGTAGCCGCGTGTGTGGAGCCGGGCCGTTATATCCCGCTCTGGTAGTTGCCGTCAGCTGCTTGCGTCGGGTCGTAGATTCCGCTCTGAAACATTAATTGCAATTATGTAGTTATTTTTCATTTTATTTATAGTCTATTATTACTATTGAGGTTCACCTCCCGTGTTCGAGCTTTTTTCCTTCTAAATTTGAGCGCATTTGACTGCAATCTCACCTGATGTGATGATGCAGTTTAAGCTGTTATACGCAAGCAAAGTCAAATAGTGCCTTATCACTCTTGGTTTGAAAGACCCAATGTTGTAAGAGGCAGGAAACAGACTAGGAGAGAGTTCCATTCCTTAGCTGCTCGTATAAGGGAAGATGATGCAAATCGGTCGGTACGAGAAGCAGGGATGTCAACAGTATATGGGTGGCTCAAAACTAGACTGTATTGGTTGAATAGTTCTATATTACAATTTGAATTATTTTGATTTATTGTATTGTTAAAGCATAAAATTTTTGTCAAATTTTGACATTTTATGACAAGGTATGAGAGTCAAGTTTTGTGATGTTACATTTTATAATTTATAGCTCTAAATTTGTATAGCAAGCCACAATACTAGGAGGGGCTTTAGAAATGTGACCATGTCACTAGGCTAGGCACTAACAGGTCAAAAAATAGTAAAGTTCTCGTGAACCGTATTCTATGTCACAATGATTATATTTTGTAGTAAATAACATCTAAAGTAGTAAATATTTTACCTGCTAGTGGCCATTTGGTATATTGTCAGCTTCCTGAGTGCATGCGACATAACAACGTAGTAAGTAAAATGTAAATAGTGAGGAGTATAATTTAGTATACCTCAGAGGGTGGCGGTGTGGGGGGTGGTGGGGACGGGGCGCGGGGGGAGGAGGGCATCGACAACGTCACTACCTGCGACATGCAAAGGATATGTGGGAATAGTTGAGAATGTACAATAAATGATCGTATATTATTTTACAAAAAAAAAAAAACAATTTTGGTATGATTTATGAATGGATCGCAGGTAGGCTTGCTACGAACAAATGTACCCTCAAAAGAGTGGTACCTGTGCGGTGGGCACCAAGTAGTTGTGCGTGTGCGCGGCGGGGCCCACGGGGCCCGCGGGGCCCGCGGGGCCCAGCACTTCGGCGGCGGGGGGCAGGGGCCGCGCCGCGCCGCCCGGGTTGAACACGTCCACGTACGACTTCTTTATGTCTGCAAACAACGACCCATATAACTTCGCATTATACAGTATCGTGTGAGAAATACATGTCACATCTTATCATCTAATACCAACTATAGTGATATCCAAATTTCAATAAATTCAAAAAATTTTTATTGCAAGAACACATTTTGTTTAGGAAACTACTCTGCTACCAAAATGTTAGGGAAGCGTCAGTCATTTACCTTTATGGTTCTGCGGATTTCTTGGGCTTCAGGGTCTCGAAGGTATCTTCGCTAGCTTTCCAGCTTCACAGTAGGTTAACACAGTTCTAATTTATTTTAATTCACAACACAATGCGCGCGCGCGTCAAGGCCGCTGTACAGTCCGTTTGTTACTAGTTAGGGAGGAGAAGGGAACGCGCGGGAACAGAAAACTAACGGACTCTAATATAATATAATATCTGTGCTTACGATGATACAGGGTAGATTTTGAACACATTTACACTGCACTTATATTTGACTTGATTTGAACGTGTTGATCTTCGAAACAACTAGTAGTATTTGAAAAAGCATATTATAAAGATTCAAATAACATTATAACCGTTACAAAAAAAAAATACGACAAATTCTAAGTGGTAACAACTTATAGTGCGGTAAGGCGATATAAGGCACTATTTTTTACAATTATAATAATAGGACGAGTTTGATACCTAAGTGGACAAACTCTATGCATATAGGTATTAGTTTTAACTACAAGTACTTACGTCTTCCTTTCTGCATTTTGAATATGTTAGCGACGGGCGCGTTGGGCGGCGCTCCGCCTGCCGCCGGGGCCGCCAGCGGAGGAGTCCTATTTACATAACTTACAGTTAAAGCAATTTTATACTATGTAACTCAAATTACCTACTACATCATAAGAGCACAAAACATATAATAATAGCAATTTTGTGACATTTATATAGAGTACATTATTTGAAAAAAATATTTAGAACCAGATTAAAAAAAAGAATGTATGAAAGGGTTATGGTGAGCTGCCTTCACAGGTCTTCACGGTCTCTAACTCGCTTTCGAGAGGGCGCATATTCTAACACTGGAAATCCAGCACGCGCAATTGTAAGTGATTGCATTTTACTATATTTTGTCTATCGCAAGTGATGGCCTCGCTCAGTAGTCATGTCATTTCACTTACCTACTTTTAAAAGTTCACTTTCTATTCCACAGATATTTAAAGGATTTTAAGATTAATAAATTATCAATAACTCTATAATGATATCTTTGCTCCATAGTCAGATGTTTGTCATTTTAAAATGATAATTAATTATTACAAGAAGGCGCTAAAGCACGCACGATTAAAAAAACATTAGATTGCGCTCACTGTCCCCAGCATGCGATATTGTTCGTTCTCTGTCTACATTTACAGGCTCATCATCATCTTTCCATCTTGAAAGCCGATTCGGACATTCAAGAGCGTACGTATAAAAGCAGCTAATAAGATGTCAAACATAGATATACAGTTACATACTCTTACTCTCTAGTATATCGAATCGTCTCGCGCGCAGGTTTGACGACTTCCAGCCTCCCGAACAAGCCGGGTTCCGAAAAGGCTTCAGTACCATAGACCACATTCATACGCTGCGGCAGGTAATTCAGAAGACCGAAGAATACAACCTGCCACTTTGCTTGGCGTTTGTGGACTATGAAAAAGCCTTTGATTCGATCGAGACGATGCCCTGACCAAATGTGTTCAATAATAGCAATTATGTATAAGTGACATATGAGGGTAGAGTGCTACTCACTGCGCGTTGGTGAGGGCGTGCGGCGCGTGTGAGGGGGGCGGCGGGGGCGGCGCGTGCGTCCGGGGCTCGCCCCCCTCGGCGGTGTCCCGCCAGCACTTGTGCTCGTCGTCCCACACGATCTGCGCACACACACAACATGCAATATCGTACTGGGCCCGGGGCCCCGCCACACAGTACGTGACGTTGAAAATCTCTGAGTGCACGTTTTACGGTGACACAACCGACTCGTATAACAACATTACTGTTGTCATACAATTTATACAGTCAGATGTAAACACTTTTTTCAGGTGCCCCACTTTGAATAGTTAATAGAAAATATACGTTTATTCAATACTAGCTGTACTCGCGACTTCGTTCGCATGGAATTCAATAATAAGAGATTTTTTCTAAAATAAAAGTAGCCTAAGTTAGTCCTTATTACATCAGCTACCTGCCAATGAAAGTCCAAATAATATAATAATAATAATCTCAGGACAATTCACACAGCGCCATCTAGTCCCAAGTTAAGCTAGTGCTTGTGTTATGGATACTAGATAACTGATACAAATACATAGATATTTTTTTTGAAAATACATACATATTACACACAGAAAACACCCAGACCGATACAAACAATCATACTCATGAATACAAATGTTTGTGCCGTGCGAGGAATCGGACCCGCGACCATCGGCCGTAAAGCGGTGTTCTAGACCGCTAGACCACCGAGGTCGTCATAAATATTCATATTTATCAGAGCAGATCAGTCTCTTGTTTTCCTATTTGTAGAAAACATAAATAAAAGATAAATATTTCTTATTACAATATATTTTTAAAGTATTTGAAAATATTACTATAAAATATTGTAAACAGAATAGGTATATGCAATCTCTCAGTTACCAATCTCTGTTCCTAACCTATATACACAATAATATCTATGTGTAGCTTTAGTATTTCAAATAAATAAAAAGCACGACTCAATATTACACTGTTTAATAAAACAACTCACAATAAAATGAAACTAGTTCAAACAATAAAATACATAATATTTAAAATAAAAAATAAACAAATATATATACAAATTCACTATTGAAATATCATAAAACGTATATAACATTTAGTTGTAATATAAATATGCAATAAAAATATAAATAAATTTATTATTTGTTAACACAACGCTGTAAATTAAAGTAAATTTTAAACTGTTTCTGAATATACTAATAAAATATACACTACTGTACTATATTATATATATAAACTAATATTACACAATAGAGGAAAATATATAAGAACAAACATATAATAGAAAGATAGCATAAAATCGAGATACATAAATTAAAAAACAATATATAAATAAATATATTTAAATAAGTGTAGTGTGTTCTGCAGAACTTGTGTTATGAATATTAAACAACTGATATTAATACACAGATACATATCAACCACCAAAACATAAACAATCATACTCCTGAATATAAAATCTGTACTGTGCGAGGAATCGAACCCGCGACCATCGGTGTGCGAAGCCGAGGTGGTGTCTACAAGAGCGTGGGTGTAGGCAGGTGCGCTAGCGGCGCGCGACTCACCGTGGGGTTGCTGTCGTCGGGTAGGATCATCTGGTTGGGCGGCCGCAGCGACAGTTTGGTGAGGATGCCGCCCAGCCAGCCCCCGCCCTTGCCCTTGCCCTCCGACTTGGTGTCCTCCTTCGCTTTATCTGGCTTCTTGGTGGACAGCGGCGTGTCCGTCTCGCGCTCCAGTTGCTGGTAATTATTTTACACATTTCTTTAGTTAAAGTTAATTGATCTTATAGAGGAATATGGCATTGAAGTATTACGTAAGCACTATAGGGGGCGGGGGGGGTCTTTGCTCTGCTTATTTTGGATGAGATGGGGGGTGGGGGAATCTAGATGATTACGTCATCGGTGGTCATTTACTTTTTAACACGAATGTCAACCCTCACATTGTCTTTGCTAAAAAACAATACATTAATTGAAAAATGTTTACGTATGCATGGGGGAAGGGGGTAAGAGATTTGCTTACTTTTGCTGACAAGGGGGTTGGGGGTTAATAATTGTAATAAATCTGCTTACGTAATACGGCCCCTACGACAGCGAAATATATATAAATGGAAACAATAAAACAAAATAAACTATAGACAGGTTTTCGAATTCTCCCAAATTTGAATTTAAATGAAATAGTATTATTGTAAATATGTACAACATTAAAAAAAAATACGAGTTGAGTTTCTTGTCAGTTCTTCTCATCTCGAAATCATTCCGAACTGACGGTAGATTTGACATATCATAAGAGTCTGTAATAGACCTACATGAATAAAGATATTTTGAATTTGAATTTGAATTTGAATAAAGGAATGATAGCTTTGTAGGTACTACAATAATTTCATATCCGTCAGGCGGGAGTTGTCCTTCAGCCGCTCCATACGTCCTTCCGCGGGTTTGGAGTGTTATCTGCACTCGCCCTCTATCATTACCATTTGATAAAGTACAAAGCTATATTACAAAAGAATTATGAATTTTATAAGTGTAACGTAATTTTAACTTTCACTTTGATATTAATCTGATTTTGAATTGATTAATTTATGTTCATTTTGATATTAATTATTGAGGGTATTTATTAAGTTTTAATTCTAGTTTATATTTTTAAAGTCACTAGTATCCTGACGACTTAGGCGTAATACCGGTTAGTCAGGGAGAGAAACACCTCAATGCCTACAATATTCACAATTACCTATCTCTTATTTGTTTTTATAATAATATAACCACTCCAACGTTTTCGCTCCAAAACTCCCGCTGCCTACGTTCAATCATCCGTCATCCACTTGTCAATGTCACACAGATTACTTTGGCTCTGGCCTCTGACGTTCCGTTTCAGCTTACATGATTATTGACTCTACCATTTTTAATTAATGGTGCGTCACACGATAGTTAACAATATAGTGCGAAATATCACACAGTCAGTGGCGGACTAAGACTAGCCCCCACTGGGCCCCAGACAACATTTTTATTCGGACATTTACATTATATATACTTTTGGTAGTTTTGAAAATTACGGGTTTTAGGCCTTAGTCCGCCCCTGCATACTTAATACCCTGCATAAATTAAATAATAATAATTTCAGGACAATTCACACAGCACCATCTGGACCCAAATAAGCTAGCTAAAGCTTGTGTTATGGGTACTAGATTACTGATACAAGTACATAGATTTTTTTTCGTAAATACATACATATTATACATAGAAAACACCCAGACCGATACAAACAATCATACTCATGAATACAAATGTTTGTGCCGTGCGAGGAATCGAACCAGCGACCATCGGACGTAAAGCGGTGTGCTAGACCGCTAGACCAACGAGGTCGGTCGGTCGTCAAATATATAACTAAAAAGATCAATGATAGAATGAGTCTCACATCAGCGCTGGGCGGTCGGTCGTCGTCGTAGTGCGCGTAGAGTGCGGGCTTGCCGCCGCTGGAGCCCGGCATCGTGATCATGGGCCGCGCGCCCGCCCCGCCCTCCGCACCCGCACCACCCTCCGCCCCCTGCACCACACCACACGTACAGTAACAACCGCCCCCTTACACAAACGTCATACTCCACCCCGGTTTACTCACAATCCGATAATATTAATTCATGAAACTAGAAAACAAGAACAAAAATAAGTAATTGTATAAGTTTGTTAGTTTATATAGAACTTTTAGTACTCGAACTACATACTAGATGGCGCTGGGTTAAAAGTAGACGGCGATATTGTTTCATTCTATTAAATGTATATATGTACGCCATTTTATACAAATAAAACCCCCTCCGATCGATCCCCCGTCCAATTCAACGGATCGATGTTACGACGATCTGAGCCGAGGTTCGAACCCCTAGTGGTGCCCTCAGACTAAAGTCGTATCCGTCAGGCGGGAGTTGGCCTTCAGCCGCTCCATAAGTCCTTCCTTGGTTTGGAGTCCCATCTGCACTCGCCCCCTATCGTCCGGTGAAGCTGTAAAGGCCAGCTGCGGCCAACAGCATTAGAGTAATCCGAAAAAAAACTTCAACAAACCAACATCGCTGGTTGTTTTATTTATCATCACCAGATGACGCTGAAGTAGTCCAGAGTTTAGTGTTAGGTTGGGGTTGGTTACAGTAATTTTTAAGAAGTTAAGAAATGTAACGATGAGAGAAGCTGAGGTTTTTATTTATCATAAAATTATTCGTCTTAAGACCCAATTATTATATTGTTTTTATATTTTTATGTAATTACATGATTGATACGGCACGATGAGTTCATGAAAATTATTATTGAGGGGAAAATAGAAGGAAAGAGGGGGAGGGGAAGACCAAGGAATAGCTACATCAAACAAATTGAGGACAAAATGGGAGTCGTGTCGTATCAAGAATTAAAGAGCATGATGGAAGATCGCGGAAAGTGGCAAGAGCTCCACCGACAAGAGCGTAGCTCTTAAATTATGAATGAATGAAGAATGATGTAATTACAAACCTTGGCCTATACACATAAACAGCATCACGGATATCACTTTATCATGTTCATCATGTGTTGCCATTACAGAGTACTAAGAATCATGCCTCTTTTCCTATACTTTCAAATAATTTGCCTATATTAGTGTCATATAAAAAGCCTCAGGACTTGAGAGTAATATTTAAAACAAAAAATATATAACTGCAATATAAAAAAAGAACAATTCCATAGAATCATTTATTCACTGTGGCAACACCATACAGAGAAGAACAGCACTAAGGACATCAAAAATTGATTCCTGGCGCTACAGATATTAATGTGTATTTCCTACTAACACAATATCTAGTTTAGTTTCCACAATTATTCAGTTTCATATATGAATACTATCACTGGATTTACAACTAGTATACCGTTATCTATACATATAAATAAAATTGGACTGTCTGTTTGTAATATTTAAATAACCGTTATTTACTACAGGCATATGAATATAAATACGGTACATACACCAAAATAACATTTTTTACAATTTTTGTCTGTCTGTTTGTCCCGGCTAATCTCTTAAATGTCTGGACCGATTTTGACGGGACTTTTTTCGGCAGGTAGCTGATGCAATACTAGTTAGTGTAGTCGTTATACTAGTTATAACGGTATACTCGTTTCAATAACAATTGAAGGGAAGTAATTATAAAAGGAATTGTAAGGAGTATAGACGTTTCTGCATATGAGAAGAACATATATATCTGTACTTACCAAAGCCAAGATCATCGTGCACAAAAGGTCGCTATACACTCAAAACTTAACTCGAAACACAACTGTTTCTCTGACATCATTATCATCATCCAAACCAATATTTAAAAAAGAAAACATATTATTTCTTTATTATAATTGATAAAAATTATAAAATAAAAAAAAATCACCTGTAAAAATCTACATTAACATGTTGGTAGAACTAAAAAAAAATTACGATCAATAATTAGACCCATGCCAAGATATAATAAGTGGTGATCAATCACACTTGACAAAAAAACTTGGCTGATTTTAAATATTTTTTCACCTATAAAATTTACATTATCTTGGGGTGCATATTTAAAAAAAAACAGCATCACTACAAAAACTGCACCCGTACCAAATAATAATGGGATTCACTATTATTTCTTGCTGGTCACCAATTATAGTAATAAATATTAAAAAAAATTAACATTTTAACTTAGAAAAAAAAAACAACTTTACTGATTTTAAATATTTTTCACCTATAAAGAATCTACATTATCTTGGGGTGCATATTTAAAAAAAACAGCATCACTACAAAAACTGCACCCGTGCCAAATAATAATGGGATTCACAATTATTTCTTGCTGGTCACCAATTATAGTAATAAATATTAAAAAAAAGTTACAATTTAACTTAAAAAAAAAAACAACTTTACTGATTTTAAATATTTTTCACCTATATAGAATCTACATTATATTGGGGTGCATATTTAAGAAAAACAGCACCACTACAAAAACTGGACCCGTGCCAAATAATAATGGGATTCACAATTATTTCTTGCTGGTCACCAATTATAGTAATAAATATTAAAAAAAAAGTTACAATTTAACTTAAAAAAAAAAACAACTTTACTGATTTTAAATATTTTTCACCTATATAGAATCTACATTATATTGGGGTGCATATTTAAGAAAAACAGCACCACTACAAAAACTGGACCCGTGCCAAATAATAATGGGATTCACAATTATTTCTTGCTGGTCACCAATTATAGTAATAAATATTAAAAAAAAGTTACAATTTAACTTAAAAAAAAAACAACTTTACTGATTTTAAATATTTTTTCACCTATAAAGAACTACACTATCATGGGCTGCATATTTAAAAAAAAACAGCATCACTACAATAATTGCACTAGTGCCAAATAATAATGGGATTCACAATTATTTCTTGCTGGTCGCCAATTATAGTAATAAATATTAAAAAAACAATTTAACTTAAAAAAAAAAACAACTTTACTGATTTTAAATATTTTTCACCTATAAAGAATCTACACTATCATGGGCTGCATATGTAAAAATAGGCATTACAATAATTGCACTAGTGCCAACGAATGATGGGATCGACAATAATATCTTGCTGGTCGCTGATTATATAAATATTTAAAAAGAAAAAAATATATATTTCACTGATTTTTTTTTCAGTTTAAAAATATACATTATCTTGGGCTGTAATATATATGTATATGTGCGTCCTGCACTAGGTTCTTATAACGCATTATATATATATGGCAATGACTGTATTATTATTGTAAACATGTATCATATTAATTTTAAAAGAACTGGACGGTAGGGAAAAAAATAAAATTATAGTGTAAAAATTCGACGCTCATAAGTGGCTAAAATGTCCTATATGACAAAATTTTTGAATTTGATTTTGAATACGAGCTGAATTTCTTGTCAGTTCTCATTTCGAAATCATTCCGACCTGACGGTATATTTGACATATCATAAGAGTCTGTAATAGACCTACACGAATAAGGATATTTTGGATTTCAATTTGAAAAACAATATAAGTGCGTTAACAGTAATGTGTTGCCATTTTGCGCGATATTGAAATAATATAGCGACCATTACAGTAATTGCATCCCCACCAAGAAATAATTGGATAAGGGCGGATGGCTCGCTATTTATATTAACACTAGATGAAAACACGGCTTCGCTCGAGTGAAATGTGGGTAGATATTTCTGTAGTCATCGGTCCTCATGGAATATTAAAAGTAAGCAAGGCATAGATTTGTAAAGCTTCGTTCATTGTGTTTAATAAATATAGTAAATAAAAAGTGCAAAAGTTTTTATACAAATAATTTTTATTTTTTTGTAAAACTTTAAGTTGGGCTAAAAAGAACTTGTATCCAGAGCCGTGAAACAAATTAATTAAAAAAATTGCCAAATTCGTCTCGCAATCGGACAATTTCAGGTATAAAGAAAAAACACATACTCTTTTATCATAAAAAAGTTTCAAAAACACTATTTCCGCGAAACATCAACGACCGAAGAAAATGCTAGTGAAATGAAAAGATGGCGACTGCGGTTTGTTTGTCAGTGTTTGTAATTAGAATTTAACGGAATACACCATAATCCGAATTTTGCGGATATATGTTGTCGACTCGAAATCAATATTTTTTTATGTTTTGTTATTCACACAAGGTTTCGTTCGAGTCTACCGTACCCTTTGACGAAATTATTAATATAGAAGAAATAATAGATTTTTGCAGGTGAAACGAGTTACGAGTGGGCGACACGGGCCGAGCGTACACGGTGACTGCCAAACGTAATCAGTTGGAACGCATAGCGTTTGCATTCTAGATTAGATCAGTGGTTCCCAAACAGTGGTATGCAAGTGCTAATAATACAATCTATACATCTATACATATAAATAAAATTGGAGTGTCTGTTTGTAATATTAAAATAACCGTTTTACTACATGCATATGAATATAAATACGATACATATACAAAAAAAAACACTTTACAATTTTTGTCTCTCTGTCTGTCGGTCAGTTTGTTTCGACTAATCTCTGAATTGGTTAGATCGATTTTAACGGGACTTTTTTTGGCAGGTAGCTGATGTAATAACGAGTAACATAGGCTACTATGCTATTTTATAAAAATTGCTATGCTATTTTAGAAAAATAAAGTTAAATTACACGCGGACGAAGTCGCGGGAACAGCTAGTATGCACATAAAATATTGTATTAACGTTTTCTAATATGATTATTTATATATTTTAATAAGTGTATGTTTTAGTAGTTTGGAAGTATTTTTTTAAATTATAGGAGCCAACAGAATATCAGCGCTGCAGACTTATCTGCAGCTTCATGCCGCGTTGGTTGCCTCTTCATCATTGCGACACATAAAGCCACCTCCATTTTTTAATTTGTAAACTTTATTTCTTATTATACAATATATCTCACACATGCTATGTGTTTGTAAATAAAGAATTTATCTATCTATCTCATCTATTATCTTTTTTTATTAAGTAAACATTAGAATATTGTTATTACAAAAACTCAAGCACTATCGTTGCCCGCTAACTACCATCTCTGTCACATCGTTAGGTTGGCCGGAAGAGATCTCTTGCAGAGATAAGCCTACCCTTAATCACATCTTTGTATAATTATCTTTATTTATTAATGTAACAAGTGCAATAAAGTATATTATATTATCATTACATAGTATAAAACAAAATCGGTGTCGCTGTCTGTCCTTACGTATGCAAATCTTTAAAACTACGCAACGGATTTTGAAGCGTATTTTTTAATAGATAGAGCGATTCAAGAGGAAGGTTTATATGTATAATACATGTACACCCGTGCGAAGCCGGGGTCAGTAGCAAGTTCAACTAAACAATGTAATTCTTTTTTAAAACAATGAAATCAAAGTGGTATAAAAGTTGAGAACCGCTGATTTAGACCGTCCGCGATGCGTGAACGCGTTAAATCGACGACGAAATACGACGAAAGTCTCCATCGAGTTCGATGACGTTTGGCGAGCGTGTACACTCTATAATAAAAGGTGGCATTCCTGCGTCGAACGCGATAACGACGAATAATTGTACAGTGAACTCTCGGTTATACGACAAACGTTTTGCTGGGCAGTGTCGGACAATCGAATTTGTTAGTAATGGGGTCTAATGACCGGGGGTATAATGCTTGCAATTTACCATGTCACGTTGACCTCCACGCGGTTCCCCCTGGAAACCATCGTGACAAATTCTTGATGAATTTGTAACGATGCGCTAACTGACCTGACCTCATGCTCATCTTATCATCCTCCATTGGTGCCCGCCAGCGTATACCGTTAGCGCAGACGGGTGCACCATTCCATTATCATCCATGAAAAAAAAACGAATTTATCAGATTATAGAGGGACCCTAAGGGGTCCTCTATAGTCCGGAATTTTTTACAAAAGAGTACCTTATAATTCGACAAATTACAGAACCAGTGATAAGATTCTATGAGGGTCCGGCGGGGGGTTGGAACCACACTAAGTGTCTGGCAATGAGCAGCGCAAGTTATAATACTACTACGAACAATATATGAAAAAAAATGGAGTTTCTTAAAATAACGAATTTGATATGAATATTTTTACACCTTTGTAACCTGTTACCTGCCAAAGGAACCACAATCCAGGTTTCCTGTTTGGGGATCGTTCTTACCTGTGTTGGGGACACACATACAAGAACTTTCACATTTACTAATAGAACGTAAGTCTGGGCGTGGTGGGCTCTTGGGCTATTAGCGAAGATTGTGAAAAAAATAATACATTATCGACCATGTCGGATTACAAGGGCTAATCCGGCCCGGATTACCCCGGGGGCCACTGTATTACAAAGAACTAGTTGTTGCAACCACGTGTCGTGTCGCGGTCTGTGCTCTAGATTCTATATTGCATCGGATGTCCCGCGGCCGCCCGGATCGGAATACCACCTTTTGCTCTTGGCTTTAGTAACTACTTATTATACAAGATTTATTTAGATATATTCTAGGGCGAGCTCATTTCTATAAAGGCCAGCACGGGTTGTAGCGAAAATACAGTTTATAAATCAAAGTCGTGATTAACAAATTTTTACTAGGTACTAAATAATTAATTGAAAACACAGGTTATTTAAACCATTCATTTTATAAGTATAGTTAGTAAATCAAGGGATCTTACCATGTTTTATTTTTATTGAGTTCCCGACGTTATTTTAGTAAACTTAAAACTAGGGATGTTATGGAGTTCCGTAACAGAAATTATCGGATATCCGATATAAAAAAATATTCGTAACCGTAACCGAATCCGAAATAAACGTTTCGGATAACATCGGATAGGGGCGGAGCCTAATTGAGACGCGATATGTAACCATTTTATGAGCTATCTGTATTTTACTTTTGACATTAAAAAATTCATATCCGTAACCGAAATTATCCGAAACTAACGGATAATCTGAAATAATATCATATCCGTATTCGTATCCGAAATTTCATATCCGTAACATCCCTGCTAAAACAGTACATACCATTCATTTTTACATCTAAAAATTTTATTGAAATCAATGTCGTACAAACTGGACAATTTGATTGCAATGTACATGTACATAAGTCTATTAATATAAGTATATATAACATCTAGAATGTAGTTTTGAAGCAAAAATCTTATACTCTGATTACAAAGAATTTGTATAAAAAAAATAATATAATTAATGTTTTTATTATTGAAACTTTGAAAGTAAACATTTTGTCCTTGATTCTAAATCTGAAAAAAAAACAAAGCAGTGTGGGTCACACGTGGACTCTGGTAGTTGTATTATTGTAGTGTAGTGTAACGAGAACAATATTATACTCTAGTGTAATGATAATAAAGACTATTTCTATTTCAATTACTTATACCTTGTGCGCTGTATGATGGTACGACGGACATTTTCATTAACGTTTCGTTTCAAAATTTGAATTTTAAACGTATAATTATAAAGATAATATTAATTAAACAATATAAATGAGACTATAAATTGTTAACAAAGAAAATAAGGTAAATATTTAATAATCATTTGCTAAACATATAATAATCACTCATTGAAATTATTACAAGCGATTAAATAACATAATTAAACATAGATACAGTTTGTGACAATATGTAACTATTTCAATCCAGCTTCGTGTACATAAATCTACGATGCTTTAGAGACTATACAATGTAATCAAAGTTTCTTTTACACGATACGTTCTTTCACGCGCGATCAAAATTCCGCGAGCTTTGCAAGCGGCAAAGTCATGAGAGATTGCTTTGATTTTATTTGATTTGATTTTATTTTACTATTTTTAGTGTTCATTGCTACGCGCGTGACAACGCGTATGATTCATATTATTTCAGTTTCTATTTTTTTTCTTTAAATGGAATGGAAAATATAATCTGTGGTTATATTTTCCATTATTATTCCATTAGATATGACGACTGATAGAGAGCAGTGGAAGAGAATGACATACTGCGCCGACCCCAAATAATGGGATAAAGGCAAGGCAATGATGATGATATTTTCCAAAGACGTTTAAGGTTTATGAATAATTTCGTATGTCATTGCATTATAAACGGATTCTGGATACTTTGTAAAATACGTGAATTATTACAAAAAGACGCTAAAGCGTGAACAATTGAAGAACGCGTCCAGTTTTCTTCCTTCTCTTTGACTATATCAGTGATTCCCAAAGTTCTATATCGACCAGGGGTCAATGACAAACTCCAAAGTTTACGACAGCGGTCATTTTGTTGTTTTTACTATATGTTTTCAACACCAACTTTACTCTATCCAAAACCGAAAAATATGGCAAGGTGTCTACGATACAAAAAAGTTTGGGAACCTCTCGTCTACATTTACATACATATCCTTTTCTATGTGAACACGAATCGCGCGCGAAAGAGCGGACCCATAAAACCAGTCAACATAATCATCGTCAGTTACAATACAATGCGAGTATCACAGGATCGCGTCGGTCACTGGAGCGGCACCGGCTCGTCGAGGGGGTAGGTCCGGGGGTGGGGGTGCGATCGCCTCGCCAGCGCCGCCTCGAACCTCAGCACGCTGCGGTCGAGGTCCCGCCTCATGGCCCGCGGGGCCTCCTCGGGGGCGTCGATGGGGAACGTGCCGCCGAACACAAGCGGGGGGAACGCCCCCCCCGAGCTCCCCGCGCCCCCCGCCGGCCGCGCGCCCGCCCGCGACCACGAGTCCACCGTGCGCCGGATCACCCCGCCGGCCGCGGGCTCCGGCCGGACGCCGCGCGCCACCTGCACGTCCAGGTCGGAGGCGGGGCGGGGGGCGGGGCCGGGGCCGGGGCGGGGGGCGGGGCGCGGCCCCAGGCGGCGCCGGAGCGCGGGCCCGCGCTGCCGTGCACCACAACACAGCGTTAGCGCCGCCGCCACTACACCTACGCGCTCCATCCAGTACGCGGACCCTACTCGTATATCTAATTCCTATTCTATTCCATCACTGAACCCGTGCTGAGCCTACTCGAAATGAACTCTATACTCGAGAAACTTATGTAGCTATAAAATCTATAAGCGACGATTTCGACGTGACATTATTACCAGATATATAACAGTAGATCATATTAACTATACTCGATCTTTTTAAGCGACACGTTGAAAATTGTCGTTGCGAATATATCGCAGCGTAGGACTCACCTCGGCGTAGCCATAGGGCGAGTCGGTCTGCCAGTATCCGGGGTCGTAGTGCTGAGCGTCGGCGGCGGGCCGCGGCTGCCAGTCGTCGGCGGCGGGCGGGGCGGCGGGCGCCGGCTGCGGCTCGGGCGCGGGCGCGGGCGCGGGCGGCTGGTAGTACTGCGAGTACTCCACTTGCTCCGTTGGCTCTTGGTACGGCGGAGCCGGTTGCTGGTACTGCAGCTGTGATGTCTACGGGTAGAAATATTAGAATTAATATTATTTGTATTCCACACAGATATTACTTACACAAATCTATTTATTTATTAAAGGAAAACCAAGGCTATTTAAGTATATATAAATATATATAACTCAAAGGTGACTGACATAGTGATCTATCAACGCACAGTCCAAACCACTGGAGGGATCGGGCTGAAATTTGGCATTGTTATGACGTAGGCATCCGCTAAGAATGGATTTTGATTCATTCTTCCCCCAAGGGGATAAAATAAGGGATGAAAGTTTGTATGAAACTTTGTCAATTTTAAATCAATCGGGCTGAGACTTTGCATACATAAAGCTACTATGACGTAGGCATCTACTAAGAATTTTGATAAATTGCACTCCTAAGGGGATAAACTAACGCGAGCGAAGCCGCGGACAAAAGCTAGTCTTAAATAAAATCAATGTAAACGTCATACTAACCCACTGACAGGCTTTCATAAATAACAACAGACTAATTCTAAAAATTTACGTCACTACGTATAAAGGCAACAACACATTATAAAGTTAACAGAGAATATGAAATTAATTAACAATAAATTAATTTTTAGTATACTAACATTGCTTTTTTTATAACACATTACACTACTGGTAAACAGATTTGAAATAGAAATAGAAATAATCTTTATTCAAATAAGCTCAATACAAGCACTTTTGAATAGTCATATTTTTTATTCTACCACTCATTCGGAACGCAGATTCATCACAAGAAGAATGAGCAAGAAACTTGTGTGTTGCTCTTTTGAATAGATTTTTTTTATATAAATAATTACACAATATCAAGTAAGAAGCATGCGATAATCAATCTAGAAACCGCTACGCACCACTTATTATAATATTGTCAGCGCTAAATTGAAATTTACTACACAAATAGATTATACTCTTGATTCAACACATAGGATTCAGTTTTGTCGGATTTATATACTCGATCCACCCGTTCCGTACCGATTACACGACACACACACACGACACCGTCCTCGCTGGCGAAGACGACGACCTGCTCTGGGGCGATTGCGTTACACCAGCAGTTGGAGTACAGATGTGTTGCGTAAATGTCGTGTGCTGCTACAATGCTATACAATTCTCCGTTACCATAATTTATTTAATTACATTTAATTTAACATAGATAATTAATATTGAATATGTGGGTGTGAACGGACCTGATCCGGCTGAGACCAGCCGTACTGCGCGTAGTACTCCGCCTGCTGTTGTTGCTGGTCCAGCTGCTGCGGTTCCTGCGGTTGAGGCTGGTGCACCGGCGTTGTTTGTAGCGACGGTTCCTCCGTCTGCTGCACACGCACCGACAGACAAACATTATACATAAACACATGGGTGAGTTACATAATCGTACAAAATGCACATAATAAGAGATCCGATGGAAATTTCTTACCATGTACATTCTAAATCTGTAAAATGTATATTATGTTTGCCTTTGTAGACCGTGTATGTATACACGGTCTCTCTATCACGCCCAATTTAGCGGCGCAAAGCGCGTAATCGTGAGTTACACCGATTTTACTGTTTTTTGTGTTCACCCTTTCGCGCGATAACCTGTATGTTTCATGTCACTTCACTTTCTTTAAAAGTCCTAATTCATTTTCCAAAGATATAATTAGTACTTTGCTAGGAACTAATTATATCTTTCATAAGGTGTCAAACCATTACTTGCGAGGAACATTCAAAGACCTATCCAGGATAAATTGACTGAGTCCAGATTATCTTGGTCATGTCATGGGCCGCCATCAAAAAAGACCTAACGCGTGAAAATTTAGACCCAATGACGATCAGACACGAAGTCTCTGGAGACGGATTGGGCTGAAATTTGGCATGCAGGTAGATGTTATGACGAAGGCATCCGCTAAGAAAGGATTTTGATTAATTCTACCCCCAAGGGGACAAAAGAGGGGATGAAATTTGTATGAAACTTTGTCAATTTTAAACCGATCGGGCTGACTTTGCATGCATAAAGCTACTATCACGTAGGCATCCCCTAAGATTGTTTAATATAAGATTTGAATTGCCTCTCTGTCAGATTTAATGCAGATTCTGGCAGTTTATTATAAAATCTTATGCAATTACCATAGAATGAGTTACTGATTTTGTGCAGACGGCATTTATGTAAAATAGCTTATTAATATCAGCACTGCAGAGTTATCTGCAGCATTATGCTGAGTTGGCTGTCTTCTCACTTTTGCAGCACATAAACTCACCTACATTTCTTTGATTAATTCGTGTTTTTTCTGTATCTCGTGTATGTTATGTCTGTAATTGTTGAATAAAGAGTTTATCTATTTATCTATATTGGACGGCATCAAAATGTAGTAACCTGTGTGGTGAGGTTTCGGTGGTGGTCTGCCGTAAAACAGTGTAGTGACCTGTGTGGTGAGGTGTCGGTGGTGGTCCGGGCGGTGGTCTGCCGTAAAAGAAACAGTGTAGTGACCTGTGTGGTGAGGTGTCGGTGGTGGTCCGGGCGGTGGTCTGCCGTAAAAGAAACAGTGTAGTGACCTGTGTGGTGAGGTGTCGGCGGTGGTGTGGCGTATTAGATATAGAGTAGTGACCTGTGCGGCGCGGTGGTGGTGGTCGGCGAGCAGCTGTATGTGGTGCAGCCACTGCTGGTGGCGCGGGGAGGGCTCGGCGCTGGGCGGCTCGTCGTCGGCGGCCTCCTCCTGCAGCGCCGGGTCGTGGTACTTCAGCCTGCGGGGCGCTGCCTCGTGAGTGCAATACTTTATACGCTTACACAATTTATACGACAGTCCGCGAGCCAGAGCCTAATTTCGTCAATTATTTCCTCTCGGCCGAAAACTTCTAAAACGACTGCATTATGAAGCCTAGTAAAAGCCAGCTACTGTTCAGAGGCTGAGTTTTGTAGCAGATTCCTAACATTTTTTTTATATATAAAAATAGACCTTACCTTTAAAATTCATATCTATTGTTATTTAGAAAAAAAAATATCGATTTTTTTGCGTTTAATACATGCCATTGTACAAACATACGCTCAGTGTAAATTAATTAAAGGGCGCGCGCTAGTCGGGGGGCGTAGTCCCAGGGGGCGTGCTCGGTGTCCACGTACCTGTCTGCGAGCAGCGCCAGGGCGCGCGCTAGTCGGGGGGCGTAGTCCCGGGGGGCGTGCTCGGTGTCCACGTACCTGTCTGCGAGCAGCGCCAAGCGCGCTAGTCGGGGGCGTAGTCCCGGGGGCGTGCTCGGTGTCCACGTACCAGTCAGCTAGAACCGCCAGCTCGCCAGCAATACCCGCAGACTAGACCCGGGGGGCGTGCTCGGTGTCCACGTACCTGTCTGCGAGCAGCGCCAGGGAGCGCGCTAGTCGGGGGGCGTAGTCCCGGGGGGCGTGCTCGGTGTCCACGTACCTGTCTGCGAGCAGCGCCAGGGAGCGCGCTAGTCGGGGGGCGTAGTCCCGGGGGGCGTGCTCGGTGTCCACGTACCTGTCTGCGAGCAGCGCCAGGGCGCGCGCTAGTCGGGGGGCGTAGTCCCGGGGGGCGTGCTCGGTGTCCACGTACCTGTCTGCGAGCAGCGCCAGGGCGCGCGCTAGTCGGGGGCGTAGTCCGGGGGGCGTGCTCGGTGTCCACGTACCTGTCTGCGAGCAGCGCCAGGGCGCGCGCTAGTCGGGGGGCGTAGTCCCGGGGGGCGTGCTCGGTGTCCACGTACCTGTCTGCGAGCAGCGCCAGGGAGCGCGCTAGTCGGGGCGTAGTCCCGGGGGCGGTGGCGTGCGAGCAGCGCCAGGGCGCGCGCTAGTCGGTAGTCGGGGTCCACGGGGGGCGTGCTCGGTGTCCACGACCTGTCTGCGAGCAGCGCCAGGGCGCGCGCTAGAGGGGTGGCGTCGTCCCGGGGGGCGTGCTCGGTGTCCACGTACCTGTCTGCGAGCAGCGCCAGGGCGCGCGCTAGTCGGGGGGCGTAGTCCCGGGGGGCGTGCTCGGTGTCCACGTACCTGTCTGCGAGCAGCGCCAGGGCGCGCGCTAGTCGGGGGCGTAGTCCCGGGGGCGTGCTCGGTGTCCACGTACCTGTCTGCGAGCAGCGCTCGCGACAGTCGGGGGGCGTAGTCCCGGGGGCGTGCTCGGTGTCCACGTACCTGTCTCTCGAGCAGAAAGCGCGCTAGTCGGGGGGCGTAGTCCCGGGGGCGTGCTCGGTGTCCACGTACCTGTCTGCGAGCAGCGCCAGGGCGCCGCTACTGTCGGGGGGCGTAGTCCCGGGGGGCGTGCTAACGGTTTTTTCTGCGAGCAAAAATAAAGCCGCTAGTCGGGGGGCGTAGTCCCGGGGGGCGTGCTCGGTGTCCACGTTATGTCTGAAAAAAAAATAGCGAGGGAGCGCGCTATACGTATTGTACAAACATGCTCGGTGTCCAATTACCTGTTGCGAGCAGCGCCAGGGCGCGCGCTAGTCGGGGGCGTAGTCCCGGGGGCGTGCTCGGTGTCCACGTACCTGTCTGCGAGCAGCGCCAGGGCGCGCGCTAGTCGGGGGGCGTAGTCCCAGGGGGCGTGCTCGGTGTCCACGTACCTGTCTGCGAGCAGCGCCAGGGCGCGCGCTAGTCGGGGGGCGTAGTCCCGGGGGGCGTGCTCGGTGTCCACGTACCTGTCTGCGAGCAGCGCCAGGGCGCGCGCTAGTCGGGGGCGTAGTCCCGGGGGCGTGCTCGGTGTCCACCGCGAGCAGCGCCAGGGCGCGCGCTAGTCGGGGGCGTAGTCCCGGGGGCGTGCTCGGTGTCCACGTACCTGTCTGCGAGCAGCGCCAGGGCGCGCGCTAGTCGGGGGGCGTAGTCCCGGGGGGCGTGCTCGGTGTCCACGTACCTGTCTGCGAGCAGCGCCAGGGCGCGCGCTAGTCGGGGGGCGTAGTCCCGGGGGGCGTGCTCGGTGTCCACGTACCTGTCTGCGAGCAGCGCCAGGGCGCGCGCGTCGGGGGGCGTAGTCCCGGGGGCGTGCTCGGTGTCCACGCCTGCGAGCAGCGCCAGGGCGCGCGCTAGTCGGGGGGCGTAGTCCCGGGGGGCGTGCTCGGTGTCCACGTTTCTGTCTGCGTTCAGCTCCAGTGAGCTCGCTAGTCGGGTTGCGTAGTCCCGGGGGGCGTGCTCGGTGTCCACGTACCTGTCTGCGAGCAGCGCCAGGGCGCGCGCTAGTCGGGGGGCGTAGTCCCGGGGGGCGTGCTCGGTGTCCACGTACCTGTCTGCGAGCAGCGCCAGGGCGCGCGCTAGTCGGGGGGCGTAGTCCCGGGGGGCGTGCTCGGTGTCCACGTACCTGTCTGCGAGCAGCGCCAGGGCGCGCGCTAGTCGGGGGGCGTAGTCCCGGGGGGCGGCGGCGACGGCCCGCGCGGCATGCTCGGTGTAGGCGAGCGCGCGCTCGTACGCGCCCACGTCCACCAGTCGGCTCGCCAACAACAGCTTGTACACCTACATACACACACCACATAACTTTATTTTTCTAAAATAAAAGTAGCCTAAGTATGTACCCTATTTATATTCATAGCATGTAGCCAAAAAAGATTATTTTAATATTACAAACAGACACTCAAATTTTATTTACATGTATGGAGTATAGATGTAGCAGCATACTTTCTACACATGCCACCTTGCAACTTCCTAGAACTCTTATACACGTGTACGTGCACGTGTAACAAAAGCCGTTGCTACGTGCAGGAGCACGTGTACGCGACACGTGTATCTTTGTATATAAGACTGGAACATTTCTACAAATAAAAACACTTTTCTGTCTGCCGTATCTATCATTACAAGCTCCCAGGTTCTCGACGAAATAGGTCATAGACCTAAAGGGAGGTGTACACACTGTACACCCCCTTAAAAGTACAATTAAATAGTATTTGACGGTCGTTTGTCGGTCTGCGTGTTTTCTATGTATAATATGTATGTATTTACGAAAAAATTTCTATGTATTTGTATCAGTTATTTAGTACCCATAACACAAGCGTTAGCTAGCTTAATTTGGGTCTAGATGGCGCTGTGTGAATTGTCCTGAGATTATTATTGATGCGACGCTAACCTGAAACTCCTCGATGACGTAGTCCCTGTTGAGCGACATGGCGTACTCGTAGATCTCTGTGGCGAAGATGGCCTCGTTGGTGGCGAAGAGCTGCAACGTGGGGGCACGGGGGTCGGCCAGCAGCAGGGAGAGGCGCGGGGGTGCGGGAGGCGGGGCGGCTGCAGCCAGCGGAGCCAGTGGATGCTGCTGCGGCTGCAGCCCGCCCGCCAGGTAGCAGAACTGAGCTGAGTACAGCAGCCCGCGCGCCGCCAAGCTGTCTCCTGCACACACCGCCGTCATACGCTCAATATATAGTCCAGAGGAGAGCGTTCAATATATAGTCAAGGAGAAAGCGTTCAATACATAGTCCAGGGGACAGCGCTGAATACATAGTCCAGGAGCAGCGCTCATTACATAGTCCAGGGGAGAGCGTTCAATACATAGTCCAGGGGAGAGCGCTCATTGACATAGTCCAGGGGAGAGCTTTCAATACATAGTCCAGGGGACAGCGCTCAATACATAGTCCAGGGGAGAGCGTTCAATACATAGTCCAGGGGAGAGCGCTCAATACATAGTCCAGGGGAGAATGTTCAATACATAGTCCAGGGGAGAGCGTTCAATACACAGTCCAGGGGACAGCGCTGAATACATAGTCCAGAGGAGAGGGCTCAATACATAGTCCAGCGGAGAGCGCCCATTGACATAGTCCACGGGAGAGCGTTCAATACACAGTCGAAGGGATAGCGCTCGATACATAGTTGAAGGTATAGCGCTCCACCATTTCCATTAGCGTAATATATATATATACGTCCAGGGGAGAGCTGTGCATACACAGTCCAGGGGACACCTGAGTTGTATGAGCGTGGGCGGTCAATACATGGTCTGGCGCCCATTGACATAGTGGAGCGTTGGCAATACACAGTCGAAGGGATAGCGCTCGATACGTTGAAGTCGCCCCACTATTTCATTCCGAATATATATATTAACACAAACAAATCATTAAAACCTAAAATGTATTGATGTATTTATATTAGTTGCTAGCTACGATCGCCCGGTCGCCAAAGCACCGCTCATCCGACACGCACTGTTAACACAAACAAATCATTAAAACCTAAAATGTATTGATGTATTTATATTAGTTGCTAGTACCCATAAAGCTCAGCTCATCAAACTCTGCTTAGCTTGGACTAGATAGAACTAGATGGCGCTGTACAGCGTGTGGAGGGGGCGGCGCGGTACGTACCGTGGCGGCGGGCGGCAGGCGGCCCCCGAGCGCGGCGTACAGCGTGTGGAGGGGGCGGCGCGGTACGTACCGTGGCGGCGGGCGGCAGGCGGCCCCCGAGCGCGGCGTACAGCGTGTGGAGGGGGCGGCGCGGTACGTACCGTGGCGGCGGGCGGCAGGCGGCCCCCGAGCGCGGCGTACAGCGTGTGGAGGGGGCGGCGCGGTACGTACCGTGGCGGCGGGCGGCAGGCGGCCCCCGAGCGCGGCGTACAGCGTGTGGAGGGGGCGGCGCGGTACGTACCGTGGCGGCGGGCGGCAGGCGGCCCCCGAGCGCGGCGTACAGCGTGTGGAGGGGGCGGCGCGGTACGTACCGTGGGCGGCGGGCGGCAGGCGGCCCCCGAGCGCGGCGTACAGCGTGTGGAGGGGGCGGCGCGGTACGTACCGTGGCGGCGGGCGGCAGGCGGCCCCCGAGCGCGGCGTACAGCGTGTGGAGGGGGCGGCGCGGTACGTACCGTGGCGGCGGGCGGCAGGCGGCCCCGAGCGCGGCGTACAGCGTGTGGAGGGGGCGGCGCGGTACGTACCGTGGCGGCGGGCGGCAGGCGGCCCCCGAGCGCGGCGTACAGCGTGTGGAGGGGGCGGCGCGGTACGTACCGTGGCGGCGGGCGGCAGGCGGCCCCCGAGCGCGGCGTACAGCGTGTGGAGGGGGCGGCGCGGTACGTACCGTGGCGGCGGGCGGCAGGCGGCCCCCGAGCGCGGCGTACAGCGTGTGGAGGGGGTCGGCCCGTGCGAGTGCGGCCACGAAGCGCGCGGAGACTGCGGCGCGCGTGCGTCGCTCGCAGTGCGCCGCCAGCTGCAGCGCGTGGCCCCACAGCGAGTTGCTCATCGCCCACTCTGCACGACACACCACCGCACGTCACCTCACATCATAAAAGTATCGCACTTTGCGTGTTCACACGCTTCGTCCTCGTAACTGAGCCTACACTTGTAATATTTCCGTCGACACTCGACACCCTTTCATTTCCATCTCCACATAGCTTAGATTTAACTCCAGCTTAAAGTGACCACGTTACGACTGCGTGGAATGGACGCGTCACTAATAAACTTACTAATGTAGTTCAATTATTACATCTGTATACTCACTATCTAGATACTATAGGAAACAAATATATTATGTAGCGACACTTTATCACACTATATATGTATAACATCAGATTTTAAAAGTTTTGGGCCAGGATGGCTGGCTGACTGACGACATTAGGCCCTGGGTCGAAAACTATATGTACATTATGTATGATTACGTTCATGCTAGTCCCCATGTGAGATCGCACATATATGTTGCATAGACACCTATATATGTAAATATAAATTATAAATAAACTGGCCTTATAAAAAAAAGTAATTCAATTGAGTTTCTTGCCAGTTCTCAATTGGATTATATACTGAACTCGATGATAGAGAAAAAATTATAAAAGAATACAATTTGACGTTCACAAGCGGCTAAAATGACCTGCATGCATAAATTATTTTACATTTTTAATTTGAATTTATATAATATGGATGTAGACTCACCGAGAGCCTCCTGTCGGTTGCCGTAGATGAGCAACTCTCGCAGCCGGTCCAGGGCCGCCTCCTCCGACACTGCTGGAGAACTCTCCTGGGCTGCTGCACAAACATTCACACACACTTTTTATTAAGCATATTCATGACTAATAAGAGAAGAGGTAGTAGCCACTGCTACATGTTTTAAAGTTACGTGAGCATCCATTTCTTAAACTTCAAAGCAGCCTCGACAAAGAGGCCTGTCTGTAGCACGTATTATCTTACTATCTTACTACGTACATTCTTTTTATTATAACCGTAGCGTAAGCTTGACTATCAGGAATTTGTGTATAAGTTTTACAATATGATATATATTTTGATGTTTTCATAGTGAAAAATAGTTTTTTTCGAACTGAACAATATTTGTTTAGTCACAAGAGACGTAAGGACACTATTCACACAACTTGACTTTTCATCATCATCATCATCGCAGCCCGGAAGCTGTCTACTGCTGGACATAGGCCTCCCCCAAAGATCTCTACGACGATCGGTCCTGCGCTGCTCGCATCCAATGCTTTCCAGCGATATTGACCAGATCGTCGGTCCACCTTGCTGGAGGCCTTCCCACGCTGCGTCTTCCGGTTCGTGGTCGCCACTCGAGGACTTAATTGCCCCAACGGCCATCTGTCCTACGAGCTATGTGCCCTGCCCATGGCCACTTCAGAGTCGCAATTCTTCGGGCTCTCTCGGTCACTCTGGTTCTTCTGCGGATCTCCTCATTTCTGATTCAATCACGCAGTGTAACTCTGAGCATAGTCCTCTCCATTGCCCTCTGAGTGACTCTGAGCTTGTTGATGGGGCCCATAGTTAGCGACGACTTGACTTTTAAGAAAAGGAAATTCAGATGTGTGTGTTTCCTGTTTCCAGTTCTTCTCAATCGAATCTGTATATTTAACTGGACACACACTACTCACACACTGACTTTTAAGAAAAAGACATTTAGTCGTGTTTCCAGCCAGTTCGTCTCAATTGAATTTGTATGACGAATACTGAACTGGACGGTAGTGACAAAAACAATTATGTTCAAAGCGCCTAAAACGTCTTACATGTATAAATGATTTTTTATTTGATTTGCCCTACAATTGTTGTAAACTCAAAACAATGTTTACATAGTAACAATAATAATAAAAAAAGCATGGGTGAAAAAAGCATCAGATTTTTAATGTATTTAATGATACATACGTGTGTTGTCCGAGTATGACGAATTTTCAGTTTCGTGGTCGTATCGCTCGGGTCGCTCGTTCCGCTCGATCTCCCGCTCGTCTTCGCGAGCGGACCCCGACAACGACGACTCGCGACGTCTCCCTACACGTGCGTAACATTTAATATGACACAACTCATGACTCTACATGCGTATATATAATAGTAGAGTTGAAGAGTGCTTGTACACTGTACAAAATATAAGTATTTAGTATATAATAGAAATTTGTAAACTGGCTTTAAAAAAAAAAAAAAAAATATGGATAAAATATTTTTAATGACGAGCGTGCATGGCAATAGTTGTTCAAGCACGGGATTTTCATTTAATGTTAGACATAGACACCTATATAAACATACATTGTAAACTGGCTTTTAAAAAAAAAGTAATTCAATTGAGTTTCTTGCTAGTTCTTCTCAATTGGATCTATATACCGAACTGGACGGTAGGGAAAAAAATAAAATTATAATGTAAAAATTTGACGTTCATAAGCGGCTAAAATGTCCTACATGAATAAATGATTTTTGAATTTGAAATTGAATTTAAATTTGTAGTGGAGAAATGCAAAATGAAGCTTTGAACACGTTTAAACGTTTTAGCTCAGACACCACTCTTAGTATAAACACGTTCAAGGAAACGGAGTTCAGTGTAAACTAGTACAAAAAAAACGACGTTGATTTCGTTTTACTTTAAATGGAATTCACCAGCGTTATACAGATCGCGTTTACCAAAATGAAGTTTAGATTTTCATTCGTTCAGTGTTACACGCTCATAAAATAATATTTGATGTAATTGGTAATTTAACTAAAATAATTTTAAGAAATATTTGTAATTCAATCATGTGATAATTAGGATAAGTTTTTTAGCTTTTAATTTAATAAGTACCGTCGACTACAAAATATATAACAACGACCTTTACCTATAAACAAGGTAAAACATTATTTTACTGAGGATTCTTTTTAAACTACTGGCAATTTTTTTATTCCCGATATTATATTGTCAAAATTCTTATTGATGACTGTTTGACAACTGACAGCTGCTTTAAATACGTTTAAAGAGTTAACTGTAGGAAATCAGACGTTCAGAATTTATAAACGTGTTTAGCGAAATTTGTAGTGGTGAAATGCAAAATGAAGCTTTGAACACGTTTAAACGTTTTGATCGCGTTCAGTTCGAACTAAACGCGATCAGTTTCTTTAGTGAAATCCGATCTAAATAGGATCAACATACCGTCATGCGCAGGTCTATCGGCCGTGGTGTTATACTCGTATTCTCGTTTGTTCTTCATCAGCAGCTCAGCAATGTCGGTACCGACAACCACCTGCGAAAGCAATGTAGTCATTGTAGTAGATAGTAATCCATAAAATACTATTGTTTGCATACAGCGCCAATAGATGGCGCTGTAACAAAATTAGAACGCGCTAATGTCATATATTATTTGTAATATGTTTTGTATCCGTATTTGAAACCGAACTTTATATACACGAGTGTAGTGTTTTGGTTTATAGTACCCTTAGGATCTTGTGGTTTTAACAATTTTATTTCGGCTCATAAGCCTACATAATACAGTATTTTTGTATAAATTATAGAAACTGTTCTGTAATTATTAATAATAATTTATAGGGAGTCAAGAGAGATGCTCGCTCGTGTTCTCCACCCGTGTTTCGGACAGTACAATCGAGTTTGTTATAGCTATGGGTCGGTTGAAGTCCCATTCCTCAATCGTCCGTTCGATTGATGTTTGGCGAATGAGACGGTATAGCGAACGTAGTCTGACTTCCTGTTCGATTTCATGGCCACCTCCTCGGCCAGTCTGCCCTTTGGTTGCCTGCCATCATGCGTTGGATGTATCTGCCCGTCGTGATCGTGATGCTGGCACTCGCCCCTTGCAGTACTCCACCAGGCTGGTGTGCGTGGGATGTGTGGTGTGTGAGTTCAGTTACCCCGTTGTGCCGCAGCAGCAGCGCGAGCAGGTGCCACAGCAGCACGTAGCCGACGCGGTCGGGGGCGGGCCGCGCGCGCCTCGCACTCGCCCCTCGCAGTACTCCACCAGGCTGGTGTAGTGCGTGGGGTGTGTGGTGTGTGAGTTCAGTTACCCCGTTGTGCCGCAGCAGCAGCGCGAGCAGGTGCCACAGCAGCACGTAGCCGACGCGGTCGGGGGCGGGCCGCGCGCCTCGCACTCGCCCCTCGCAGTACTCCACCAGGCTGGTGTAGTGCGTGGGATGTGTGGTGTGTGAGTTCAGTTACCCCGTTGTGCCGCAGCAGCAGCGCGAGCAGGTGCCACAGCCGTAGCCGACGCGGTCGGGGGCGGGCCGCGCGTAGCCGACGCGGTCGGGCCGCAGCAGGCGCGAGCGCGCGCACGTAGCCGACGCGGTCGGGGGCGGGCCGCGCCTCGCAGTACTCCACCAGGCTGGTGTAGTGCGTGGGGTGTGTGGTGTGTGAGTTCAGTTACCCCGTTGTGCCGCAGCAGCAGCGCGAGCAGGTGCCACAGCAGCACGTAGCCGACGCGGTCGGGGGCGGGCCGCGCGCCTCGCACTCGCCCCTCGCAGTACTCCACCAGGCTGGTGTAGTGCGTGGGGTGTGTGGTGTGTGAGTTCAGTTACCCCGTTGTGCCGCAGCAGCAGCGCGAGCAGGTGCCACAGCAGCACGTAGCCGCGGTCGGTGGCGGGCCGCGCGCCTCGCACTCGCCCCTCGCAGTACTCCACCAGGCTGGTGTAGTGCGTGGGATGTGTGGTGTGTGAGTTCAGTTACCCCGTTGTGCCGCAGCAGCAGCGCGAGCAGGTGCCACAGCAGCACGTAGCCGACGCGGTCGGGGGCGGGCCGCGCGCCTCGCACTCGCCCCTCGCAGTACTCCACCACGCTCGCCTTGTGCGTCACGCCTGCAACCACGCCAGTTTGTTTTTAATGTCGGAGAAACAGAAATAGAAATAGAAATAATCTTTATTCAAATAAACTCATTACAAGCACTTTTGAATTACACATATCACATATTTTGATTCTACCACTCATTCGGAATGCAGATTCATCACAAGAAGAACGAGCAAGAAACTTGTGTGTTGCTCTTTTTAATAGACTAAATTGATAGCTGTAAATGTCAATTTTTAACATAAAGATCCATATTTACAGTGTCTCTCAGGGTACCAGACAACCGCTGGAAATACTTGATAACTTTTATTTATAAATGCATACAGAGAACACGACGTGCATAGTAAATAGAGTACCTTTGAGCAGCGGGCCGGGGTAGGCTGCGAGCTGTGCGCGGTGCGGGTGGCGGGCGGCGGCGGCGGCCAGCGCCACCACGCGCACCGTGGCCGGCCGCCCGTCCACCGGGTACGCGGGCCGGACCACCACCACGTCGCCAGAACTCACGCTCCCCTGCACGCACACGCACACACACACACACACACTACATACGAGTACACCGCCTCCGATGTTCGATCCTCTATATAGTCTCTAAGTGAAACTTCTATACAGACGGCGTTAAGATTTTTCGTACATAGAGGGTGTTAGAATTTTTCATACATAGAGGGCGTTAATATTCTTCTATCACGAAAATACGGTATAGTCGCGTGGAAGGAATAGACGGTAGATCGCCTTGTGAAAAAAACAGAAAGGTTGGTGACGAAGGAGAGGACAACGGCAGGCGCCTGGAGAGCAGAGTATCCTCGGTGACGTGTACTCAGTCATTGTTTTCTTAAGAGTATTATACATAAGGTTTAAAATTCGAAATAACGTGGGCGACCGCGCGAGTGCCTAGGTTCGGTCGGACGCGTAGATATAGGTAGAACATTTGCATGACAACGTATCTACGCCTCCAGCCTATGAACACTCACTTGATTGCATTAACAACACTCGTTATTTCAAGGGGAATTGCTTATAAAGCCATACGGACGAATACTGTGAGATTCTTATCCACTAAAAGCCCTTGATATTCCACTAAGCACGACTAGTCGTCGACTCGAGTTCGCTTTAACATTCGGCCGAAGCGCAGCCGCGTTCTCCAGTAGAGAAACCGCCTTCAAGTGTCAGACTTCCAGAAAGCTTTGAATGAAAAGATTCGAAGTCCTAGCGGTGCCCTCAGACTAAAGTCGTATCCGTCAGGCAGAAGTTAGCCTTCAGCCACTCCATAAGTTCCGCGAGATTATAGTGCCACCTTCACTCGCCTATAGTCTGTTGATGTTAAAAAAGCAGTCTGCGCCTGACTGCATTAGAAAAGTCCCAAAAATAAGCCCCAGTAAAACTAATCTTTAATACAATTTATGTGTTATAATTTTTTTTATATATAATGGATTTATAGATGGTAAAGTTAGAGGTGGTATTTTTCATTTATTATTTCTCTGCCTAGGTTCATCAGCTTGTCATAAGACGAGCCTCCTCCAAAAGACTCCAGGAATATAGAGCCTTTTGGAGGAGGCTCGTCGTCCTCGGAGGCTTGTTCCTCTGTCCAACACTTTCCTTCTCCAGGTTGGTCCAGCCACTGTCCTTATATCATCCTCCCACCTCTTTTTCTGTCGCCCTCGTTTTCTTTTTTGTTCTCTTAGATACCTATCTACGTGTTTTATAAATTACTAGCTACTCGCACGGAGACATGTATTCATATATCACTCTATCTATTAAAAAAACCGCTTCAGAATCCGTTGCGTAGTTTTAAAGATTTAAGCATATATAGAGATAGACAGCGACAGCGACTTTGTTATATACTATGTAATGATACGTTGCTAAATATTGTAAGATTATTATTACCTTAACATGTGCAGTAGAGAATTTGAAAGGCGTCATACGTTCGGAGCGCACGGTCGACTCCTCCAGGTGTAAATTGAGCGAGGCATCCGTGTTCAAGTCCCTGAATACAATCCCTAAATTAATACTACAACATACATTGGCTAGAACTATCTAATATATATCATTATAATATACAATATTAGCTACTCGCCCCGGCTTTTTGATCATCATCATACATCCTTACTTAATAATTTTTTTTTAGGAATTTTTTTTTTAAATTAATCAAAAAATCGCGGGCACAGCTAGTATAAGTACATGTGTATACATTCACATAAATTGTTAGTTATGTAAGATATATTACTGTATTATTTTCCTAATAAAATATATATAATCGCAATTGATAACTAAGAAAAAAAATTGTTTTTTCAGCATCATTGAGAAAATATAGATAATACACAAGAAAAGTCGTAAAAGAGCTTACGTACAGAAAGAATACAAATAAATTATAACAAAACAAAATAGTAAAAATAATAAGGATCAATATTGCAAAGTTAGATAATTTAAAATTTTAACAACAGTGCTTAGTGGATAGCAAAAGCTATGAAGTTAATAAAAACTTTCGTGTTTAATATACATTATTTAAATTATTAACCGGGTCTTAACACGAATAATTTTATGGCAAATAAAGGTAGCAGTCAGCTCGCAACCACGGCTAGTGCAACCATGTCGAAACGTCGAGATAGGTAAATACCTTTATTTGCCATAGAAATTCACAACGCTGACAATGTTATCTGATTGACTAAGTGCGTAGCGGTTTCTATGTTTATTTTCGCATGGCTAATCCTTGTTAATGCAAATATAATTAAATCAATTTTTATTTAAAACAGCAACATAAGTTTCTTGCTCATTCTTCTTGTGATGAGTCTGCATTCCGAATGAGCGCAAGAATAATAGAAATAGAAATAGAAATAATCTTTATTCAAATAAACTCATTACAAGCAGTTTTGAATAGTCATATTTTGATTCTACCACTCATTCGGAATGCAGATTCATCACAAGAAGAATGAGCAAGAAACTTGTGTGTTGCTCTTTTTAATAGATACTTTTTTTTTATATAAATAATTACAGTATAACAAGTAAGAGGCATGCGATAATCAACATAGAAGTCGCTACGCACTCATTATTAATGTAATCAGATAATATTGTCAGTGCTATGGATTTAAAGTTTTTCTATAAAAACATTATTATCGTTAACGAATTCTTCAATTTTAAATAAAAACTTGACTATTCAAAAGTGCTCATATTAAGTTTATTTGAATAAAGATTATTTCTATTTCTATAAAATTATTCGTGTTAAGACTCGGTTAATAATTTAACTAAAACTAGCTGTTTAGCGCAACGGTTTACTTCCGATGGTCGCATTTGATTCCTCGCACGATGCGATCATTCCTATTCATGAGTATGGTTGTTTGTATTGAGTTGGATGTCTTCTGTATCTAATATAATTGAAAAACATATATATATATATTATATACTTCCATTGTATTACAAGCTGTACCCGCGACATAGTCCGCTTGGAAATTAACTTTATTTTTCTAAAATAAAAGTAGCCTAAGTTACTCCTTATTACATCAGCTACGTGCCAATAAAAGTCCCGACAAAATCGGTCCAGCCATTTCAGAGATTAGCCGGAACAAACAAATAGATAGACAGACAGAAAAAACTTGTAAAAAATGTTATTTTGGTCTATGTACCGTATTTATATTCATAAGCATGTAGTAAAAAACAGTTATTTCAACATTACAAACAGACACTCCAATTTTATTTAACTGTCTAGATGTATAGATTAAGAAATTCAGTAGCTAAACAATAAAATATTTAAGCTAAACAATAGAAAAAAATATATATTGTTTAGATTTGAATTATCTGTATTAAAGACATCACAGACATTACAAAAACCAAATATAATCATTATGACCCACTCAGTGACAATTAACACAGCGCCATCTAGTCACTGTAGTACTGCAGGTAGTAGATAAAAACTTAATCCACTTTTTATGTAATATTATAATACACATATAATATAATAATATCACACACATATAATAAACAATACAAATATAATAATATATTAAATGCATATATATAATATAACAGCCAGAGTAATACAAACATACTGAATAAAAAAAATTGTATCGTACAAGAGTCGAATTCGTGATTATCGGAAATAAACCGTCTGATATCTTAGACTTTAGATATCAGAATAGAATAGAATAGAATTCTATTCTATTCTGATATCGTATAATGACTCTAATGAATATAAAGACTCTATATCAGAATAGAATTCTATTCTGATATAGAGTCTTTATATTATCTAAATATATATAACTCAAAGGTGACTGACATAGTGATCTATCAACGCACAGCCCAAACCACTGGACGGATCGGGCTGAAATTAGGCAAGCAGGTAGATGTTATGACGTAGGCATCCGCTAAGAAAGGATTTTGATTAATTCTACCCTCAAGGGGATGAAATAGGGGATGAAAGTTTGTAGGAAACTTTGTCAATTTTAAAACGATCGGGCTGAGACTTTGCATGCATAAAGCTACTATGACGTTGGCATCCTCTAAGAAAGAATTTTGATAAAATGCACCCCTAAGAGGATAAATTAACGCGAGCGAAAGCTAGTAATAACATATAATATATACATACAAAAAACATGCAAGCTTTAGACCTAAATTACAATTCAACATGCAAGAAAGAAGAGAGAAAGGAGATCTTTGGGGGAGGCCTATGTCCAGCAGTGGACATCTTCCGAGCTGCGATGATGATGCAAGAAAAAAATGCCTTGATTTTTGTTAATATACAATTTATATGTCATATTAGAATCATATAGAACAGTAAAATGAATGGAGAGGACTATTAGTAATGGATAGTATTCCGAAAACGCGAAAAAATTCCTCATTGGTACCTTTCTAGCTAGAAGCGTAGCGTGCCGTGGCGGGGCTCAGTTAAAAAATTTGTTTGGTTACCAGAATGGTTAAACAATAAGGAATTTTACAATTTGATAGATCTTTTGACTATATATAATTACTGACTGGAGATGTTATTTTACTATTATTTTTTATTATTATTATTTTCTCTGTGTATAGATTATTTATGTATAATTTTTAAACAAATCAATATTTTGCATGACATTGCTATGGCAAAACATATGATACTATGCTTCAATTATCATCTTTTGTACCATGTTTTGAGCAAATAATATATTATCATTATTATAAAGGACCCGTACGAAGGGTAAAGATTTCTCACAAAAGAAAAAAAAATGTATAAAATTAAAAGAAACATTTATTCATCATAATTATCTATCTGCCACTTTTTCCAAAATGTTTACAAACAATTCAAATTAAATATACACTCTCCATGCCTTTTTTTCGGGAAACTGATTTATTAAATCATTTATAGCTGATGCGGGAAAAAAATAATAGCTTTTTTTTACTTTTGTCATTTGTGAAATAAATAAAAAGGTAATTTTTGCTTACGCACGTTGGGGCCCGTGGCCGGGGACCCCGTATAATCGATACGACAGATACGGCAGTAGCTACGCCCCTGCTTCTAGCGTAAACCATTAGCGCAATTGAGTGTAAAAAAATTGTAAAAGAGTTCTAAAGTCATTCACAAAGTAGCATTGTACCTTTCTGAAGTATTGGAAACGATCACAAGTTAGTAGGACACGTTGTAAGCGTTAGTATGTATAGTATGTTTTTTAATCCCAGAGAAATAATTGACATTTCCTGTGCTGCCAGGATTTCCCATTTTTTTAATAGAGTTGTGGCACTATCGAAAATTAATTTTGTGTTAATGCGTTTCAAACAAACATCAACATAGTATTTTTTAATAACCTATAAAAGTGGGTAATTAGACCCATTTTTGTAGGTTATTCAGAAATAATGTGTGGGTGTTTATTTAAAACGCATTAACACTAAATTAATAAAGTATAGGTATTAATAAATATATGGTTGTTGTATCAAAATAGATTTTTTCATTTTTTACTAAAATAAAGACTGTCATATATCATAAAACAAACACCTATATAAAATATTTAGCTGATAGAAAGAAAAAAAAAAGCTGGTTTGTAGCTTAATACTGTAAAAATTACTATTTGTACACGAAACGACAAAAATATATTTTTATGCTGTATAATACTTACAGTAATGGAAACACTAGTATATGAATGTAAATTTAAAAAATCTGTTATGGAAACGTCATTTAAAGCTTTAACACTAATGTTAAAACAAAAGTTTCCGATTAAACAAATCAGTATCGCAGGTACACCACTACTCATTGTAACATTAACTAGTAACATTATTTGAAAATTTGACATTTGCACCTGTCAATTTAGTCTCCGGGATTAAAAAACAGACGATGTATGATTAGTTGATGAAATAAATGATTATTATATGATGGAATGATTGTTGTATACCTGTCGGAGAAGTCAGTGCGGATGGAAGCCGTGCCGCGCTGCGAGCTGCCCCCGTACCTACGCGCACACAACTGTCACTACAGCGACACTATAGCGCCACTATTGCACCCCTATTACACCACTATAGCGCCAGTACTGCGCCACGCGACCGAGCAACCTCTCTCATACACATACTACACTATCAATGACCTCCTAGTTTGTTTACTCGATTCTAAACGCGAAGGAGATCGCATTACCGGGATAAGAAGCAACCCTTTGCAATAACTATGTGTATGGTAAATCATTTATTTGCATTGCAGACAGCATATTTGATATGTTAGCTGCTCGCCCCGGCTTCACGCGCATATACATGTATTATACATATAAACCTTCCTCTTGAATCACGCTATCTGTTGCTAAAATCTGTATTAAAATCCGTTGAGTAGTTTAAAATATCCAAGCGAACATACAGAGGACTTCATTTTATAATATGTAAAGATATATAAATATACAATTCCTGCCAATAAGTGCTATTAGCGGTAGCTCTGTAATATACCTTTAGTAGATATGCAATTTTTTGTAATATAAATACATTCAATTTCATAACTATTTATTTAGTCGTTAAAGAATAACTGAGAGATAGCAAACTTTAGATTTACTTTTATTAGTCATCTTTTACTCTACTGCCTAACACTAACTGTTTACACGAGAAGAAAGCGCAAGAAGCTAGGCACTTTTCAAAATCAAGCTTTTTTTTCAGACTACTCTAATGCTGTTGGCCGCAGCTGGCCTTACAGCTTCATCGGACGATAGGGGGCGAGTGCAGATGGCACTCTAAACCAAGGAAGGACTTATGGAGCGGCTGAAGGTCAACTCCTGCTTGACGGATACGACTTTAGTCTGAGGGCACCACTAGGGGTTCGAACCTCGGCTCAGGCCGTCGTAATTTCGATCCCCATTTGGATTAAACGGGGGATCAATCAGAGAGGTAAAATTCAAGCTGTATAACTCAATTAATATGAGAATACAGACAGTTCTACGTTGAGTAATAGTTTCTTTATGAAATAATTTTAGGTTATGTACTGTTAAGATGTAATGAGAGATGTTACTCGCTTGCAATGACTGATAATGCGACATGATTTCTTTGTGTCAAATTAAAAACAAAGATATGTTAGAAATCAAGAGATTTTATGAAGTTTTTGCATTTAATACTAATGCTAGTAATTTTAACACATTATGAGCGGGCCGGCATTTATACCCATATATATATCGCACACTTATTCTAATACTGGCTTAACTAAAAAATTACAATATTTGTAAAGTCCACTTTATATTTGTCGTATTAAAGTCTAATTTAAAAAAATATATTTTTCTGAATTACACCAGTATTGTACTAGATATGCGATATATTATATGTATATGTATTTTTCCCTTGTGTCACTTAAAATTACCTATACCTTCCCCCTAATCGGTAACCTTCCACGCTTTTAAACGGCAATGTGCGGAACGAGTTCTAGTAACTTATAAGTGGCAATCCTCGGAGCGGGTGCCCCGCTCATAATGTGTTAATAATCAGAATAAATAAATAAAAAGTTAAAAAATATCTACTTGATTTCTATAAGATCCATATTTGAATAAATATGCAACATTTTTTTAATTGCAAAAGTGCAATCGTCTATTCAGAATGGATTACAACAGCGTCAACAATGTGCCAAACAGATAAAGATCTTATTTAAAATTTCAAAAATGAAAAAAAAAGAAAAATAAAAGAAAAAGTATAGTAATCTATTCAGAATGGATTCAGGTTTTTCAAAAGCGCCAAAAAATTGCCAAACCAAATGTGTTGTATATGCGAAGCATTGTGAATATCACTCAAATTATAAATGGGGAAATAAAATTATGAGCTCCCAATATTTGGATGCTGCTACAATATTCCAGGTCAGGTGGAGATGGCAAGATTCAAGATTCTTTATGTGCAGTGGATGAAATCAATTATTTATATCGGGAGTTCATAAATATTATCATCGTAGTATCCTCCTTAAATACACCGTATGATTAAATATGTTTGTATATTAATAATAAATACAATGAACAGTCGTCAGGTTTTTAGCAGGTAGTAGTCCCGCAGTATCCATTCTTCCCTAAGAGAATGGTTTTCCATGATGGATTTTCAAGAAATAAAAAAAAAAAAAGAAAAAAAAATCCAAAACTGAAATGTAATAATTATGTTTGTATATAAATAAAAAATCATTTTGTCCGCTTATGAACGTCAAGTTTTTAGCATTCATATTTTTTCTCTACCGTCCACAGATCGTCCGTGTACAGATTCAATTGAGGAGAACTGGCATGACACTCAACTGAATTAAAATCAGTTTATTTACATTATGTACTTATGTAGGTGTCTATGTCTATGCTTGTTTAATATCGTTAATAACCAGTCGCATCTATAGTTCAGACTCACAATTACCCTGGTAAGTGATGCTGCTTACGAAAATCCAATTTTGGAACAGGAAGCTAATCGAATTTGGTACTATTTTAAATATAAATTCTCGAGGTATGATTGCAAACAACAGTGTATTGAGAAGAGTGTGCATGCGCATGTGATACGGCAACAGTGTACTGCGGAGAGATCGAGGGGGTGTGTGTGTGCATGTGATGGGGATACGTATGCAACTCACGTGTCCGTCGTGAGGTCGTGGCGCTGGAGCGGCCTGAGCATGTGATAGGACAACGGTGTATTGCGGAGAGATCGAGGGTGTGTGTGTGTGCATGTGATGGGGATACGTATGCAACACACGTGTCCGTCGTGAGGTCGTGGCGCTGGAGCGGCCTGAGCCTGTGATAGGGCAACGGTGTATTGCGGAGAGGTCGAGTGGGTGTGTGTGTGTGTGTGTGTGTGAGGGGGGTACGAGTGCAACTCACGTGTCCGTCGTGAGGTCGTGGCGCTGGAGCGGCCTGAGCATGTGATAGGGCAACAGTGTATTGCGGAGAGGTCGAGTGGGTGTGTGTGCATTATTGCAGAGTGTGCATGCCCATGTGATAGGGCAATAGTGTATTGCGGAGAGGTCGAGTGGGTGTGTGGGTGTGTGTGTGTGTGTGTGAGGGGGGTACGTATGCAACTCATGTGTCCGTTGCAAGGTCGTTGGCGCTGGAGCGACCTGAACATGTGATAGGACAACAGTGTATTGCGGAGAGGTCGAGTGGGTGTGTGTGCATTATTGCAGAGTGTGCATGCCCATGTGATAGGGCAATAGTGTATTGCGGAGAGATCGAGTGTCTGTGTGTGTGTGTGTGAGGGGGGTACGAGTGCAACTCACGTGTCCGTCTTGAGGTCGTTGGCGCTGGAGCGGCCCGAGTGTACGCTGCCGCGATCCTCCGGGCGGCAGTCCCGCAGCGATATAAATCCTGCGGTACATTCATACTTAGGTATTATTCATATACTAGCTGTACTCGCGACTACGTCCGCGTGGAACTTAACTTTATATTTCTAAAATAAAAGTAGCCTAAGTTACTCATTATTACTTCAGCTACCTGCCAATAAAAGTCGCGTCAAAATCGGTCCAGCCATTTCAGACTAAATACTTCCGGCTAATAACAGACAGACAGACAAAAATTGTCAAAGATGTTATTTTGGTGTATATACCGTATGTATATACATATGCATGTATAAGTAAAAAACGGTTATTTCAATATTACAAACAGACACTCCAATTTTATTTAAGCGGCTGGCTAAGCCGTGCCTGATGGATACGAGCTCAGTCTAAGGGTACCGCTAGGGGTTCGAACCTCAATTCCTGTTTGAATCGGACGGAGGTCGATCGGAGGGGATGATCATGTGTGTGTTAGAGGAGTAGGCATGTACAAGTGACCTTTGTGCTGGTAGTCCGCTGGGGGCTGAGGCGGCGGCTGTCCAGCCATGAGCTGCTTGTAGATCTGCATGTAGGCGGCCGGGTCGGTGTGCCGCAGGTGGTCGTAGTACTGGTACTGCTGCCGCTGCACCAGGTACGGGTCCTCGTACGCGCTGGCACCATACCCTGACCAGACAGTCATAACATAAGAAACAAAATGTAATACTAACTAAATGGGCAAGTAAGCCTGATCATGAATACATTATTATTATTATTTTAACACACGCCAACGTTCAATCTTACACACTAATATTCGCTCTTGAAATCAAAGCACAATATCGTTATCTATTTAGGATTTTTTACAGCTTTCTTTATACTACGGTAGTGGGAGATAAATAAACTTTTATGATAGGACAAATCTACCGTTAGTTCGGAGTACTTTCGAGCTAAGAACGATTGACAAGAAATTCAACTCTTATACTTTTCATTTTGAAATTAAGGGGGTTTTCCTATGTGATGGGTTGAAAAAATCGATTTTTTTTTTTTCATAAATTGCTCCCTTAACATGTCTAGAATACGGTAGTAAAGCGATTTTAGAAAATTCGAAGTCGTTTTAAAGATACAGCAGGTAAAAGAAAGAGCGGTTCGGAGCGGTGAGTTGGCAGTTAGAGACCGGGCCTATTGTGTACCGTCGGCTTTATACCTGGCCTCCCTTTTATTAATATATTTGTTTATACAAGTTTAGACACGTTTAGGTAAACTTACTGATAAAGTTATCCAAGAAATTACAAAATTCTACGGATTAGCAATTCGACGCCATCCAGATTAGCTTGAAGATATGAGAAAGGAAGTTTGGGCAACGTACTATCACAAATGTTCTTCTGATGAAAACCCTCAGCATCAATTTTGTCCAGAAGGCGAAGACAGTTGGTGTAAATGGCGTAAGGCTGAAGCTAATAATGAACTGGACCAATTTCATCACGATAAACCACCTCTAATTCCGCAAGTCCAAGAAGCTATCAAACCGGTTTTCGAAGATTTATCGAAAGACGAATTATTAATTCGTTGTTTAGGAGCAGAGACACAAAACAATAACGAATCTTTGAATTCTTTGATTTGGACTTTCGCTCCTAAACATCTTCATTCTGGTCCCAAAGTTGTTGAAATTGCTAGCTACTTAGCAGTTATTATCTTTAATGAAGGTTTTCAAGGTATTTTAAAAGTTATGTCGATTATGGGATGCCCTGTTGGTCGTGAAGCCCAAGCGTATGTTGAGAAACGGGATGAAAAGCGAATCTTACGCTCTGAGCGGCGCGTAAGTGATGTCGTTAAACAAGCCAGGATTGACTCAAGAGCTGAACAATCTGCTTTAAAAGAGTTTCACGAGGAAGAGGAAGGAATACTCTATGGACCAGGCATCGCCGATTGAGAGTAAGTTGATATTTTAATAGTTTTTAACGGACTTGAAACTTTAAACGCGTTTTTCTCAAAACTGTGTTTTTCAAACTTTCCTCCATTGTATCTCAGAAACGGCTGGACCGAATTACTTGAAATTTACAGGGCACACTCAATATATGTAAACGCATGGAATGAACTATTATCAATCGAAAATTTTCAAAACTTCGATTTTTTTATAGCAAAAAACAAAAAAAAAAACGGCTAATTTGCAACTTTTATTTCAAATGTCTATCAAAAATCCAATTTGTTTTTATATTCATTTGATTATAGGTCATTCCGTGCTTTTAAGCCTACAAATTAAAACGCCGTTTTTTTTTTTTTTTCAGATAAGCCGATCAGCCGGAATCGTGGAGGAAGTGGGAGCTCTTTTTTTCGAGGCGGGGGTGTTCAGAGCGCTGTAACTCTAGTTTGACTGAATATTTTTAGCTGAAATTTTATATTTATACTGTCCAAATATGTGTTAATAAATGATAAAAAACTTGAAGCTCTAAATATTTACTGGTCGTAGAAAAAAAATCCTAAAATATCCCTAAAAAACAGGCCGTCACATAGGAAGACCCCCTTAAATTAGAGAGAATGTAAACACCACTAGCATATGCTATTGCATTTTGTCAAAATCAAATAATTGAAGAGTCGTCTGAGAATGAGTCGTCGGCGCTGGTCACGAGACGGTGACACTTACCGTCGTAGTAGTTGCGTGCGTGCCGCGAGCGACGGTAGCGACGGTCGCGGTCGAGGTCGTCGTCGGCGCTGGTCACGAGACGGTGACACTTACCGTCGTAGTAGTTGCGTGCGTGCCGCGAGCGACGGTAGCGACGGTCGCGGTCGAGGTCGTCGTCGGCGCTGGTCACGAGACGGTGACACTTACCGTCGTAGTAGTTGCGTGCGTGACGCGAGCGACGGTCGCGGTCGAGGTCGTCGTCGGCGCTGGTCACGAGACGGTGACACTTACCGTCGTAGTAGTTGCGTGCGTGCCGCGAGCGACGGTAGCGACGGTCGCGGTCGAGGTCGTCGTCGGCTCGCTGCTCACGAGAATCCGCACGGGACGGTGACTCGTATTCACCTGCACCATACGTGTACTTCAGTATATTCTCACATATTTATTTCATTGCAATTATTAGATGCTATCCAATGAAATGTTTCATCTATTCACGCAATTTATACATATCGAATTTAAGACTTGAAATTCTGTATATAAAGTCTAATATTTATATAAAGTGATCACTATCCGCAATTATTATTCAATACAAATATATTCATATCTCTAAAGTCTATAAATAAAATGAGCAGTGTACTCTAATCTCTAAATGTCTATCTTTACTATAAACTAGATAGAAAGCCAGTCAAAACACTTAGGGGACTGGATCATATTCACCAAAAAAGAATTGGAAATATCAAAATAAAGTTTTGAACTTTTCCTAAAATTAATCAATGAAACAAAATGATGTGATCTCACAGTGTGATGATTATAAAATTATTTTCTCCCTTCCACTTTACTTCTTTGTTAGAATACTCCAGTTGACTGACTTTCGACTTCTTATACTAAACCTATATTTTCTTCGTATTATATTGTTGAGTTTGAAATATTAATTAGAAATTTAGCGCGTCCCCACACAAGCCATGGAGTAAGTGTGCCAATACAGAATATACGTAGAGAAAGCTGGTATTGCAACTCTATGTGAATTTTGTAAACTTACGACAAAGTCATTGAATATCAATATAGATCAGTGCATCTATTGTACTCATTCGTAATATAAAAGTGCCTAAAACTATATCAGTAATATTCCATTTTAACCTTTCCTCACTCACTAAATCATGAAATCAAATTTACAGTCACTTCGGAGTGCTTTCAAGCTAAGAACAATTGATAAAAAAATAAATTCTTATCCTTTTCGAATGAGCTTGTAGATGATTATAAAAATACAGATTCATTTTTAAATTAATTATCCTTTTTAATTTAAATTAAATTATTTAATTATTACATACGTATGAATCTCTATTTCTAATCTATACAATTAGACAAGAAAATGTACTTGAGACCTATCGCCAACTAGTAATCGAAAACATTTCAGAAAACAGATGAAAATATAGTTAATAAAAAAATCAGAACAATGATGCACCATTATTGTGTTGTAAGCGACAATTTTTGAGCAAATCTTGTAAGCCATCGGTGAGTCAAGTTCAAACAAGTGGCATGCATGTATATTACACCAGTATGTATATGTGATGTGTGCAATCACAGTACATCGCATGACACACAACACGTTGAGGAATCGGTACCTTCCGTCCTACCACTAGATTTGGCATCGCCCGAGAACGTCACCACTGGAAAAATAAATACAAAATCAGCCGTCCGTCCGCGAGTCGTCTCCACAAGTCTCCACGAGTCGAGTGAGGCTCACCTCTTCTGCGCTCGTCCTCGTCCCGCTCTCTCTTGAGGTTGCCGTACTTCCTGGTGGGGTCGATGTCTCTGTATCTGCGGTCGCGGTCGTGGTCGCGGTGGTCGCGGTGGTCGCGGTGGTCGCGGTGGTCGCGGTGGTGGTCGCGGCGGCGGACGGTCGCGTCGCGGTCGCGGTCGTGGTCGTAGCGCCGCTCGCGCTCGATGGTGTTGTAGCGCCGGCCGCGCTCGCGCTCGTCGTGGCGCCGCTCCTTGTCGTCCGGCCGCGGGGGCTTCGACGACGTGTACGAACCCTCTCTGTAACGTCTAAATGAAAACGAACTGGTCACTTCTTTTGGCATTTCCTATACACCTGGTGCGAGTGCTAGGTCACGTTTAACCCACTAACGTACGTTCTAATCCCACTGAAGGATAAGTCTTTCATTACATTTAGTACATTACATAAATTCTGAATAACTATTTAAAGTTCTCTCTAGTAAGGAATTAAATTATAGATTGTACTCGAGCTATGTGCAACATAGCGGGCAACCGTGCTCTTTCTTATCGTGCGCAACCTAGGAGTACGCTAACAACTGAAGAGTTTTCTTACAAATACTAAAACATTAGAAATTTATATATTAAAGATTACTCATTAGAATAAATTTATATATTTATTCAAACTATCATTAAAATTACTGAAGATTTTATAAGAATCTTACTTCTAGTAAACATTCTGGCAGGATACTAATTGGTAACTTTGTAGCTAAAATAGAGCAACATACAATTTAAGATAGGAACACTATCACTTAACATGATGTAGATTAGATAATGAGTCATAGAGACCTCGCAGATTTAATACTATAATGTGCTAAGAATGATCAAACATATAAAATCTAACTTTTATCTAAGAATATATAAGCCTACTTACAGAATAATTGAAATGTAATTTAATTGTATTAAATTTTATGTACACGTATTTTTTAATTGTAATATATGTGCGTCCGTACTGTGGGCCCAACTGAAAATTAGCACTGGAAACTATGTTTCCAGCATTACGCTGAGTTGTGGTCCACATTGACTCTGTTTTTTTAATGTGTAAATTATTTTTGTACTTCTTATGTTATCTAAATATATATAACTCAAAGGTGACAGATGTAGTGATCTATAAACGCACAGCCCAAACCACTGGACGGATCGCGCTGAAATTTAGCATGCAGGTAGATGTTATGACGTAGGCATCTGCTAAGAAAGGATTTTGATTAATTCTATCCCCAAAGGGGTAAAATAGGGGATGAAAATTTTTATGAAACTTTGTCAATTTTAAACCGATCGGGCTGAGACTTTGCATGCATAAAGCTACTATGATGTAGGCATCCCCTAAGAAAGGATTTTGATAAATTCCACCCCTAAGGGGATAAATTAACGCGAGCGAAATCGCGGGCAAAAGCTAGTTACTGTATAAAATAAGTTAATAAATTCTATTCTACTTTAAATGTTACCTTACCTTCGTTCTTTTTCTCTGTCACTGTAGTAATCGGTATCTTCTGTCTCATATCTGTGACTCCTGGTGCCGCGTCGATGACGGCGAGTATCTGGACTCTTGTCGTGCTGCTTGTCCCTTTCTCTCTTATCTTTCTCTGTCCATCTATCATCACGCGTTGACCTCCTGTCTCCATCTCTATCATATTTTCTATCACCTCTGGAATATCTCCCTTCCTTATCTCTGGATAACTTATGTCTATCTCGCCTCGGAGACGATTTGAACATTCGGTCTCTCTCTGAATCATCACCAGAAGTATTCACATGATTTAGTGATTGTCTTCTTGAGCTACTTGCTGGGTTTTCAATGGAATCTGAAGCATCAGTTTTCCTATCATTACCATTATCTGTAACATTCTCATCTGCACCATCTAAAGTTTGTTCCCTTGAATATGTCAGATCTGTCGATGATATTACACTCAGGTCTTGTAAATTTTCGCCTTCCATAACAATGTCTCTTTGTTGTTCCTCTAACACTGCATTAAAATCTGCCGACATGTCTGTCTCTCGAGCCCCTATGATATTCCTTGGAGGGTTTCTTATAGTTTGATCAGTGTAGTCCGAACCATCAACATTTTGCTCTCTAACATCTGAGGGTCCTGCATCCGTTAAGATTGGATAATCATGATCAACACCTGTCACTACCCTTGGTTCATTGGCGCTAGAATAATTAGGACTTACATACTGACAATATTCAAAGTCTCTTGATTCACCAGGGACCATTCGGTCTAAAGGTTGACCAATAGCTTCTCTATAAGGCCTTATGCCATTAGGGAATACCTCAATTTGTTGACCAGGGACCATTCTTTCAAAACCAGGTGGTGGTCCATCAGTAGACACATTGGTGTTTTGATTATATTCAGATTCCTGTTGTCCTAATACCATTCTCGGGAATCCAGGTGGAGGCATAATGTGGCTGAAATCTGTGTTTTCTCCATATTCACCACTTGATAAATGTGCAGTTTGAAGATATTCATTTCTATCATTTTGTGGAGCCACTTCCAAGTTTTCAGGAATTTCTTGAGCAATAGGCATTGGCCTTAAAGCTAATACTTGTGGTTGATCAGGTCGTTCAGAATTATCAGGTGTGGTTTCTAGATTTGCACTAAAACCAACTGGCACTCTATTATGTTGTGCCACTTTATTCACAACAGTTGGCGATGTTAGATTAGTATTAGTCATTGGAGTAGAAAATGACTGACCTGTTGATAAGTTTCCAGGGGCCATTTTTGACACATTTTTGTGAGATATAGGTCCTGCATTTTTGAATGGATTCTGAGATGCTACTGTATGAGGAAAATTAGTTGGTGGCATAGATATAGAAGAAAGTGGAGGAGGAGGCAGTGATGAGGTCACTGGAGGCACATTTGATGAAGATGAAGCTGATGATGGTCGTGGTACTGGAGATGGTTGTTTAATATCTGCACTATGTTGCGATGTTGCAGGAGAAGCAGATGGAGGTGGCTGCAATGTATTTTCTGGAATATTATCAACATTTATTTCTTTAATTTGAGCGGCTGGTGCAGGATTTTCACTATTAGTTATACTCATTTCTTGCAGAGAAGTGGAGAGATCATCATTGCTCTCATGTCTACTGTTACTGAGTGTATTCTCTACTAATGTTGACTCTTCTACTGAATTCTTTGACCAGTCCGGGTTTTGGGCATAAACCTCATCAAGACTCGGCTGTGAATAATTAAAGTTAGAATTATCTGTATTTAGACCTGGGCTACTTTTATTAGAATTCCTAGATTGATTTTCACTTCTATATGTTCCTTCAGAATGTGTATGTGGTCCATCACTAGACTCTTGAGACATCTGTGATTCTATTGACCACTGAGGTGTGAGATTGTCTAAATGGAACCGCTTTCCAAGTGCCAAATTAGGCAAACGTTCCTTGACTACATCCTTATCATTCAATGTTCTCACTTCCTCAGTAGTGTGAGGAGGTATGCCACCAAAGTTTCGGCTATTTGCATCAGTGACTACATTATTTTCAAAGGAAGGATTGTCAACAGGCAAGGCTGCTTGTTTACTTTGATTAGGAGGAGGTGCTGATGATTCTGTAGTCTCCTTCTTATCCTCCATTGCCCAGTTCCAGCTGTCAGTTGTACCAAAACTTTCTTCAATGACATTAGCATTGTTGTAAACCTGCTGTGCTTGCTGCTGTTGTTGTTGTGGTGGCTGTTGTGGAGGCATTTGACCTGCATTCGGCATTACACCTCTTTGACCCTTAGATGAATCTTCCCAACCCCAATCCCAGTTGTCATCCCAACCATCGGTGCCTTGAGCCCCCTTGTTCTGGGGATAATTTTGTTGTTGAATCCCTTGATTTTGATTTGGATAGTACCCTTGTTGAAAACCTGGTGGTAGGTTAGTGCCAAATGTTTGGCCGGAATAATTCTGAGTGTATTGAGTAGGTTGTTGTTGATAAAATTGGTTGGCATTAGCACCATAGTCTGCCCGTTGTTGGTATGACTGCTCATATTGCTGGTTGTACTGGGGCTGCTGCTGACCTTGTGTTGGCCAGTACTGCTGTTGTTGAGTATTGCTTTGAGGATAATTTGGATACATATTTTGCTGATTCCCAAATGCCTGAAAAGAAGAATATGCAACTCAAAAATATTGAAATTATTAATTTAACTCATAAATATTAAATCACATCTATACATCTATATGTATAAATAAAATTGGAGTGTGTGTTTGTAATATTGAAATAACCATTTTTTACTACATGCATGTAAATATAAATACATACACCAATTTTCTATCTGTCTATCTGTTTGTTCCGCCTAATCTCTGAAATGGCTGGATCGATTTTGACGGGACTTTTATTGGTAAATAACTGATGCTAAGGAGTACTAGATATTACCGTTACTTAGGCTTTACTTAGGCTACCTTTATTTTAGAAAAATAGAGTTAAATCCCATGATAACAAAGTCATATGTATAGTTAGTATGAATTATGATAATGCAGATAATTTGACCTGTACATAATTAAAAGGCCATAATTATTTTCAATTCTTACTTATTAAACTGGTGATCGACACATGCAAGACCATTTGATACCATTTATAAGCATTGAGCAATATTTAGTAGGAAGTTAACAAGAATATAATATGTATCTCAGTGAGGTAGAAATATTACTCAAACAAAAAACAATGTGACAGTGTCTGATACTTTTAACTAATATATGTTGCTGACATACGGCCCATATGTACATGCTTTTATAGTTCACATACTGTACTTTTTCTTATTAAAAATTTTATCATATTCTGTGTCCTTGTATACAGAATAGTCTAATAAAGAACTTTGACAGAGAACAACAATTTATTTGGATAGATGTATCAACATTACTCATTAACAATAAGTCATTGTCACTTAAGGACTATTCTAAATTAACCAATTAATTCCAATAATATAAACAAAATCTACAATATTTTGTTTACAATGATAATTGTTTATCAATCATATGATTTTGTTGGCATGTCGGCAATTGGTACACGTCATTATTTACGTCGCTGTGCCGGAGTTTCCTCACCTGAGCCTGCGGCGGCTGCGGCGGCTGGTTCGCAGCGTAGCGCGGCTGGTCGGCGGGCGGAGGCGCGCCCGGGGCTCGCTTCATCCACGACATGCCGCCTGCTACCACCTATTACGCTTACGTAACATTCGTCACGGGCCTGCTCACATATGCTATCGCGACGAGCGACTCGTCGTGGATCGTACTACATGGAACCGGACCCCACCGACACTTTCACTCTCACCACCGTCACACCCGCTACACTCTAATCTAAAAGAGCTATTACGATGAATAGCATATAAGAGAGGTTCAAATTTTATAAATTTATTAACTACGTGATAATGTTACTTTTATTTTATAAATATTTCAAAGAGATTTTTGACAGCAGTACATCGATCGAAGGTGCCCTGTTGGCAGTGTCGCCATGTCATGTTTTTTGTTTATGCCAGTCCAAATGTCATCGTTGAAGTGTTTTACTTTTTAATTTTACTTTAAATTAATTTAGAAAAAATGTCTTAATCGATTTGTATTCAATGCTTAGTAACTATTTATAATACTTTATTTTAAAGAGAAAATAAGTGTTGTCCCTGAGTGAAATCATTTATTAATTTGCATGTTGCAGTGATAATGGAACATTATGGTATGTCGATGATCATGAATGATTTGAGTATGTGATTATTACTGTCAATGTCTAAAATGTCAAATGGATTAAGATAAAGTCAAAGCGGGAAATTAATCACAATAATAAAACAAATTGCTAATTTATTTATTACTTTTACAGTTATTTATTTCTACTACCTACCTACGTATTTATGTTATCCTTTCACATATAACTTTAAACAGGTTCCTATAATAATTTCTGACAGTAGATCATTTATAAAAATGGCTAAAAGAGCGAATCCATTTTTAGAAGATTTTGTTCCTCAAAGTAAAACTCATGTTGGATTAAAACAATTCAATAACAATGAGTATAGATTGCAGAAAGTATACGGTACGTACATATATATTTTACTATTGTTGTAATTGATACTATGTTGTTGCTTCTATGTAACATAACTAATTTTGTTCTAGAAAAAACTTTAGATCTTCTATTCAAAGGCGCGAAAAAATCACTCGCTCACGATTTAATCGACTCGAACATCACTGTTCTAAAGAAGAAAGATAATATGAAACAGTTAGTTATAGGGAAAGATGGTTGCCTTCACTCTGGTAATGTGGTAAGTATGATTACGTCCTCATAATTACCAAGTTCTATAACACCACTCTGTATCGGGGGATAGGATTGTTAGCAACGTGACCCCATTGCTGGCAATTATATTGTTACCATGTTAGGTCAACCTTGGAAACCATTGTAGTTACTTCCTAGTAAATTTGTCAAGTTGTGCTAACTGATCTGGCCTATTGCCATATTTCACTTGTGTTCTGCCAGGATATACTACAATTTAATTTATTTAGATGCTGGCTGGGCTAGCCCTTTTTAGTCTAGACTAGGCTTGCCTAGCTCTGTACAGATGGAGAGTTATTTGTATGCATTAACTTCAAAGGTAGGTGGTTCATATTGCCGACTAATATGTGTTAATATCTGCAATGGGAGGGGGGGATTGTTAGTAATGTGAACTATTAATACCATTGCTAGCAATGTATCATGTCAGGTCGATCTCCATGCGGTTTCCCCTGGAAACCATCGTGATAAATTTCCAGTGAATTTGTCACGATGGGCTAACTGACCTGACCTCATTCTCATCTTATCATCCTCCACTGGTGCCCCACCAGCGTAAACCATTAGCGCAGGCGGGCGCACCATTCCATTATCAACCTCTAAAAAAATATCTATAACAGGCTGATTGTATCTCTTTGACAGTCTTTGACAGTTAGCATTTCTAGATATAGTCGTACATCTGCATTTTGGTATGAACCAGGGCTCTAGTTATGGTTTTTAATGTATTTTATATTCTAATATGATTTTATCAATAAAGAAAGATAAACATGAGTGTTTATATGTTGCAGATGGTGGAGAAGAGTAGAAGCACAGTCCAATGTAATTGTGGATCGGAATCAGAGTCCAGCTGTGCTTACTGCGAGAGGTCGCTGTGTGTGTGCTGCCAGCATCACTGCGCCCGGTGTGCACACCCATATTGCTCACAGTGTTCACTTATTGGGTAATCTTACTAATATTATTAATGCAAAAGTTTGTGAGTATGGATGGATGTTTGTTACTTTTTCACGCAAAAACTACTGAACGGATTTTGATGGAACTTTATAGTAATATAGCTTATATATCAGAAATAGAAATAAACTCATTACAATTGAATAGTCATATTTTGATTACCACTCATTTGGAATGCAGATTTATCACAAGAAGAATGAGCAAGAAACTTGTGTGTTGATCTTTTAAATATGTTTTTTTTATATAAATAATTACAGTATAACAAGTAAGAGACATGCGATAATCAACATAGAAATCGCTAGGCACTCATTATTACTGTAATCAGATAATATTTAATAATAATACAAAATAGCACATTGTCTATAATTTAATCAGTGAATTATGTGAATTGGGTGAAATACAATGATAAATATCAAGCAAATGTGATGCAGACGAAGTTTCGCGGGATCACTACTTAAATAATAAACCTGAATATCACACATTTATAGATACATTTTTCTTACCTACATATGTGTGTATAGTGTTTTCTATAAACACTTACCAGTCATACTGTTCATGTATGTGGGTATTGAACCCACAACCATAGTGAGAATGTCAGTTTGGTACACATCAAAGTTACCTAAATGCCTGTAAAAGTATACCAATATTTTTATTTTCAAATAATCGTCAAGGATATTAGGAAGCTCCGGTAAGTAACTAGGTAACTAGTAGTACTGCTGACTGGTAGTAACTCCGGTAGGTAACCTTAACCGAATATATCGGATATCCGACATAAAAAAAATAATCTGTAACAGTAATGGAATCAGAAATGAAAGTGACGGATATCAGATGGGAGCGGAACCTAATTGAGACACGTTATGTAACAATTTCATTAGCTATTTGTAATTTACTTGGGCACTGCTAGGGCTTCAAACCTTGGCTCAGGCCGTTATAATTTCGATCCCCGTTTGAATTGGACGGGGGATCGATCAAAGGGAACTAACATGGACTTGAAATTCCTTAAAAAATTAATATCCATAACTGAAATTATCCGAAACTAACGGATAATCCGAAATAATTACATATCCGCATGCGTATCTGGTATAATAATCATTCCTATATCCGAAACCTATCTGTATCCGAAACTTCATATCCATAACATGCCTGATAATAAGATTTTTGTTTTAATCATAGTGTATGACATTTTTAGCAAACTACATACACTTACAAACATACATAAAAATGATATTGTTATAAATTAAGAATGAAAAAATGTATCATATATTATTTATTTTCTTTTCAGATTGGAAGGCGCAGAAGTATGTGTGTCCTGTTATGGTTAAATAGAGAAATTCGTAGTTATTTCGTTGATGCATGTACATATATAGTTACAATTGAAGTTGTTTGTAAATACGATGAATTTGTAATAATACACGCAATAGTCTAATTAGAACTATTAGTAATTTAAAGGCTCAGAGCTAATAATTGACTGAAGTTAATATTAAGGACTTATTTTAATTGTTACAAAATATATAACTAATAATGATATTAAATAAAAGAAACTTTTCAATTATAGTATTATTATTTATATAAAATATATAATAAACTTACAAACTAAACATTTCATCCAACACAAAGTGCCAAGGGAAATTTCTTTTACACAAAAATATGTAGTGCTAATATTTCATAAAAAAAAAACAATCTGTCCAGTGAATGTTGATCCATGAGCGATATATATCGAGTAAATTGACTAAACTCCAACCTAAACTGGTTATTTAGAATTGTTGATGAGCATGAGCTATCTGAGGATCGTTGTGACGTCATGATTACGTATAAATTGATGGAATGTTATAATTAGGTATGAATATTAACATTTATCAACCACATTACACGCTCAGATTTAATATTGATTGTAGTTATATTTACAGCAGAACCTATCGTGTAGTAGATGCCTGAAACCAATCAACAGATGGCGCCAGTACAATGATACAGTTGTATTTTAATCATTATCTTGGCCGATTGAACACATCTGTGTCATTATCAATTCAACATATAATATTGTATTTTGGAGGGAATTGTAAATAATATGGACTGTACCCATTGCTAGAAATGTACCATGTCAGGTTTTTTTTTTTAAGGATGATAATGGAATGGTACACTCGCCTGCGCTAACGGTTTACGCTGGCGGGGCACCAGTGGAGGATGATAGGATGAACATGAAGTCAGATCAGTTAGCCCAACGTGACAAATTCGCCGGGAATGTATCACGATGGTTTCCAGGGGGAACCGCGTGGAGGTCGATCTGACATGGTACATTGCTAGCAATGGGATCATTAGTCCACATTACTAACAATCCCCTTCCCCCCTACCATGTCAGGTTGACCTCCACGCAGTTCTCCTGGAAACCATTGTGATAAAGTCATGGTGAATTTGGGACATAATATAATATTGTTTTTGGAGGAAGGGAATTGTAAATAATGTGGACTGTAGACCCAGCTAGCAATGTACCATGTCAGGTTGACCTCCACGCAGTTCTCCTGGAAACCATTGTGATAAATTCATGGTGAATTTCTCACGATGGACTAACTGATCTAAACTCATGCTCCACTGGTGCCCCGCCAGCGTGAACCATTAACGCAGGTGGGCAAACTATTATTATCTATTAAAAATTATTTTACAGTAGTTTAGATATCGAAATGTTGTCGACTAGCGTCATTCCTTGACTGACACCAAATATTTACATTATTCCACAATTCTCGTTAAATACGTTACACTCACTAAAGCCAAAAGCTAGTCGCGTATGGATCAACATTATTATACCGTGTACACATTACATTGCTGAATTTATTATCAAAACTTTTTACGGTCTTTTATGTCCTCACCATTAGTACCTACACTCAACTCATGTACATTATACTAAGTACGCTATAACATGGTGCGAATAACAGTTGCTAAATTTAAGTTACTACAGCCATTAATGATTTAATATATTACGAATGTGGTACAAGTGAAATGCTAAGTCATAATTTGTAAATCGCGGCAATTTTCAAGAGAAACTAAACGGTCACCATTCCATGGTTCAGCGCACATGGTATAGTACCGATTTGAAATTCTATTCACATGTCATTAGCTTTAATTATCTCACATTTTGTCGTGCAAATGACTCGCCATTATTGTGGGGCACATCTCAAAAGGTTATCGCTACATGACTTGAAGCCGATGTTACATTTAGTATATTTGTGGGGACTGGTCTTTTCAGGTTACGAACGCTGATTAGACTTGCTGCTTTTGCAGTAGCATATCTGGTGGTCATTCTATTCTCCCAAAATTGTATTTATAATGAATCTGTATTATTGCAAATATGTATAACATTTATTTATAAAGAATACGAGTTGAGTTTCTTATCAGTTCTCATCTCGAAATCATTCCGAACTGACAGTAGATTTGACATATCATAAGTCTGTAAATGACCTACATGAATAAAGATATTTCGAATTATATTTAGCGTGTACACGAAATGTATATTGAATTGTTATGTTAATAGATATAAATATTGAATACCTTCCACGTTTATGAATAAATATTCATCTATAAATTATATCTCCGCAGTACCTATTATTCTTACTTCTTCCTTGTTCTTCTCAGTTCTAAGTGTAACAATATATTTTGCAATATTGCATCCAATTACTAATTTAAAAAAACAGCTCCTATATAGTTTTAACCGTAGTGTGACAATTTTGGAAATTTACATCCAGAATCTGCTACATTAAAAAAAACAACTCCTTAAATAATTTTATTTAAATTTAAAATAAATTTTTACATCACATTAATATCAAATCAAACATTTTTATGTTTCAAACTTTGACTGCTGTCCCATGTCGACGTCGACCACCTCCCCACAATATCGTATGTCATAATTTATAAATGTTCAATCAGCATAAAAAATATTAATTCTGTACATAGTTGGTTACTTATAAATTGGTTAACGCTTGTAAATGCATACTTACAACCGAACAGATAGTCAGTCATTCATATATTATGAGCACCCAGTATACTACATTTAAATTCACAATAATGCAACAAAATTGCTACCATTTACCTCTGTAAATATGAATTAGCAAAATGGACAAAGACTATGAATTACTCATCTATAATTCTCATATATAATTACAGTATAGATCATAATATAAATTAATTTTATTATACATTGTATTGTAACATTATATAAAAGCCCATAGAAATATTGAGATGAATTACAGCATCATTCACAATTACTTCATTCAATTTGACACCGCTTCTTAGAATATTGTATTTAATTCTGCTTACACGTCAGTCAGTCGATCAGTCGTGTATGACGTATGAACTGATCGTATGTACTTGTGCGGTAGATTTACAAAATAAAACCCATATTTTACACCGAACTATAAAGCCTTGTCAATATATAAAAACATAGCCCAAACACCGTTAGTTTCCTACGTTAATTATTAATATAATTATGTATTAACTCACATTCCCTACCCGTATCGCGTGACTTTACTATTAGCTTTATATAAAAAGCATAGGCGCAGTTAGTCTCAAAAATATATATTATACTGGTATATATATAAGGAGGGGCGGATCTACCAAGGGTTTTTTGTACCAGGGTCCCGAGTATACAAGGGGCCCCCCTGTCGCCCTGACTGAAACGATATTTAGAATATTAAAAAAAAGTCTAGAGTTTTAAAAAAACCTCTCATAACCTTGGCAACCCTGAGATCAATGCCATGCACAATTGCATTTTTTTTAGTTGAGTAATATAAATATGTGCCCCTAAGTATATATAGCTCAGGGCCCCATAAATTCAGGATCCGCCCCTGTATACAAGATATATATATATTGTAATATACACCTAGTTTCAGTACTATCAATTACAAATGTGCTCTGTTTATTTGTTTGAGACTGACTGATTGGATACTTGTGCTCTATGACCAGTATATAGTATAAAATATATATTTAAAATTAATATAATATCTCTTAAGTATTATATATATATATATCATTAGTTAACATACTCGAAATAAAAAATAGTTGTATTGGCAAACTATTTATATAAATATAAATTTATTACAACAGTATAAATATATAAGACAGCAGGTCAACAAATGTAGCTGCGTACAAAGATTTTAAGCTACAGTCTGTTTTTTAATCCCGGAGACCTTGAAAAATAAAAAAATCTATTCTGATACAAATACCATATATTTATTAATACCTATACTTTATTAATTGAGTATTAATGCGTTTTAAATAAACACCCACACATTATGTCTGTATAACCTATAAAAATGGGCAATTAATATTAATATCCGATAGTGCCTCAACCCTATTAAAAATGCAAAAAACTGGCAACATTGGAAATGTCAGATGTGTCTCCGGGATTAAAAAACAGACTATAAAATCAGGTAGAAGTAAAAGAATATACAGGATGTACAAAATATTACGGTTGACCGTTTTCTATATACAGCCTGTTATCTCACTGGTGACAATAATCAACTATTTTATTTCAGTTTATATAAAAGTTATGCTTAAATTAGTAAATAGCTAGTTAATGGCTCGTGTCGTTGGCAAGGTTGCTTCATACCCTGCACGTTCATAAGGTCAATTCATCGTTATCATATATTATTAATTGAATATTAAAGATAATGCCAGTGATTACTACGACGGATGTACTGTATATAAATGCCTACCTATGTATTTAGGAAAATTTACTACCAATGTCCCGTAACTTGATATCCAGAAACAATCACCAATATATATTATGATTAAGGAAATAACATCTGTAACACAGGGATCCGCTAGCACAGATGTTACGGCCTATAAATTAGTGATATTGTGTAAAAATTAATAAAAATATTATTATTATTGTTTTTATATATACATATACATATATGTATATATTACTAGCTGTCCCGGCAAACGTTGTTTACCTTAAAATAAAATAAAAATTTAGGGGGGACTACCCCTAACATTTAGGGGGATGAAAAACAGATGTTGGCCGATTCTCAGACCTACTCAATAAGTTCACAAAATTTCATGAGAATCATCAAGCCGTTTCGGAGGAGTATGGGAACGAAAACTGTGACACGAGAATTTTATATATAAGATATACATATATATATTACATATCTCCCTTTGATGGGGTAATATATCATTGTTATTATTATTATTTATTTATTTATTATTTTGCGACCCGCCCGGTTTCGCACTGATGCATTACAAATCTTTGATTTTTTTGGCTTGTTCTTTACTATAACACCAATATATATACATATAAACCTTCCTCTTGAATCACTCTATCTATTGCTGAAAACTGCATTAAAATCCGTTGCTAAATTTAAAAGATATAAGCGAACAGATAGCAGCGCTGATTGTTTTATACTATGTAAAGATTTATTTATTTATTTATGATTACTTACTTAAGTGTTCGAACTGCGTTAATCATGAAATAATATTCACATTATATCTACTATCAACGTAAAATTGTATTTTAATATCTCGTTGATAGTTTAATGAGATTTTAATTGCTGCAAAGTAATTAAATAGTAATATTTTTCAAACATATTATAAAATAATTATATTCCATATATTGTATCATGTAATAATGAGCGCGTAGCGATTTCTGTTGATTATCGCAAGCCTCTTACTTGTTATACTGTAATTATTATATAAAAAAAGCATCTATTCAAAAGAGCAACAAACAAGTTTCTTGCTCATTCTTCTTGTGATAAATCTGCGTTCCGAATGAGTGGTAGAATCAAAATATGACTATTCAAAAGTGCTTGTACTGAGTTTATTTGAATAATGATTATTTCTTTCTTTCATTCTTAACGTTTTAGTTCGTCACAACGAGGAGTATTTTTTTATATTTTACACACTTAATAATAAACTGCATAAAATAAGAACAAACTTTTGGCGTATACAAATAATTGGGAAATACTTTAAAGGTAATTCTTTAAACACGTTTTATTATGTTAATTTTAGGTAAATATCTCATAAATAAATACATAACATCTCAAGACAATTCACACAACGCCATCTAGTCCCAAGCTAAGCAGAACTTGTGTTATGACTGACAAGAGAACTGAAATAATTACAGGGATTTTTTTTTTGTAAATACATACATATTACATAGAAAACACCCAGACCGATACAAACAAGCATACTCATGAATACAAATGTTTATGACGTGCGAGGAATCGAACCCGCAAGTATATATATACATATATAATATTTATATACTTAAATATATATTAGGAACATTATATTCGTAGAAGCCGAAAAAAAAATTAACGCATGCCTAATGTGACCAGACGTCCCGTAATGAACGGGACAGTCCCTTTTTATAATTACGAGTCCCGGTGTCCCCGAAACGGACTCTGGGACGCAAAATTGTCCCGTTTTCGGTAACGGTGCGAAATTTTGGGTAGACGAGCCGGTTGTTAGTTGTTGGTAATTAAGGTGAGTATAAAAAAAATGTGCCAAGAGTGTCATTCTTACTTAAATACTTCTTAAAAAGTCAAATTTGTTCCTCCGATAACAAAACATTTTATTTTTATCGGATAAATATAAACTATCTATGAATAAACAAAATGTTTAATTATATTTATCGGATATATTTCTTAATTGATAACTTTTTTTGAATAGATAATTTTAAAAAAGAGTTTTTTTTATTGGCTGTCTGTTAATTGTGTCCTGTTTTGAGTCGAAGAATAAATGGTCACATTACGCATGCCCAACATAATATGTTCCTCAGATATCTTATAGATATAGCGATTATATGGCAAATTGTTGAGACTAACATCCAACGCAACGAGTTGAAAGTCCACACAATTACGGATTACACACAGTGGGACGAAACGCCACACTTATAAATGCATCATCGATGAGTGGACGTAACGCCACCAAGGCACTACCATCATTTTCTAACATCAGCAAAACCACGCAACGCTCAACAATAAAATGCATAAAGATATTTAAAAATAGTCTTTTAGCTTAAAAAAATAAAGTTCATTATTTGAAAATTGTAGATTTGAAATTGATGCATTTTATAATTCAGCGCGCTCATAAACACTTCGTCTACAACCATAGACAATGTGTAGATACCAAATAATTACATTATACTAAAGCTGTTCTAATGAAGCCATCGATTCAACATACAACATATTTATCGCCTATCGCCGCTTTCTATACAGGTACACTACCCACCTTATTTATAGAAAAATGAAATGTTATTACACTTAACATATTTACTAAATTATCTGGCCTTTGTCTTTGGAACTGTGCTTTGCCTTTAAAAGAGAGAGATAAAACACATTTGTAAGTTACTAGTAAAAGTGTAGATCACAGATATAAGTTTTAAATAAATGTCACCTAATCCCAAACATATCCCACAGCGCCATCTAGTTCCATACTAAACAGAGCTCGTACTATAGGCCCTTGACAACTGATCCAAATGTAGTCTGGTGGTGGGGATCACCAGTAATTGGGATTAGAAATCCCATTGCCAGCAATCAGATCTTCCTCACTTTCCCCGGTGGAAACCTTAACAGTTAATGCCTGACGAATTCGTCATAATCGCCAGCGAATTCATTATGCATTAACGATAATGACTCAAGACAACTTCCGCATTATGCATTAAAAAGATCTAATCAGTTCTCAAGTACCCTGAATGTACCGATACTGATATTAAGCATTACCAGCAGCTATTTGAAGTACATTATAGCAATATGACATTTTCACTTAATCATGTAAACTGCAGCTGAGCGGAGACGAGGTGCTGGTGGCGGTGATGACTGCAACAGCGACTGGTGATGAGGCGACGGCACTACGCGAACAGGTACCGGTACACGAGGGTGGCGGCGATCCCCAGCAGCAGCGGTGTCAGCCACGTGCTCCACGCGCTGCGCCAAATACACTATATATATTGCATCTGAATGGCACGGCTCGCCATTACATAGTACCTACTGCCTACATATATGTAATGTATTGGTTCTGGACAATAATATTCAATATTCTCATAGGCTGACCTGTGAGAATATTGAATATTATTGTACCTAATGTATAAGTTTTAAACATAATAATATTCAATATTCTCAGAGGATAATATCTGAGAATATTGAATATTAAGGGTCGGCAACGCGCAAGTGACACCCCTGGTGTTTCAGGCGTCCATAGGCTACGGTAATCCATTTACTATCAGATATGCCGTATGCTTGCTTACCACCATAGTGGTATATAAAAAAAAAATTAGTAGTAGATGATAACGATATTCTCTATCTGCTTGTTACCTTTCCATTACTAAATTAATTTTAATGAAATTTGATATAACGATAGATTCTATCACGAGACATCGACTAATTCGACTAATTTTTATCTAGAAAAAGTAGATATATATACAAATATACATAAGTAATATTCCAAAATGGCAACGATTGGATGGTATAACATGATGACGTGATGTCCGTAGTACTGTTCATATCTAGGCGTCCATCAGATGACCATCTTGTTAGCCATTATAATAATTAAAAAAAAATTGTTAATAAATATACCTCTCTGCTTATACATAAATCTTTTTTATATAGCATAGGAGACAAGTGAGCTTGCGGCTCACCTGATGGTAAGTGTTTACGCTGGCCATGAGCACCCGCAATACCAAACGAATTGCAAATACATTGCCGGCCTTTTAAGAAGGAATAAGCTCTTTCCTTGATGGTTTCAATATACTATTATACTATGGCTGGAAGATGATTCCCAGTGTGGTTTTCATGGTAAAAAGTTTCTCGTTAAATGCATGGTGAAGGACCGTGAATCTTGATTTAATTGCCTCGTACTGAGTGATTACATATACAAAATTATGTTGCTATATCTGTACGTACAATGAGTCGTATTTTAAGTATAGTAGATATAACATTGTTTACTGTAATGATAGCTTGTGCATATTTACAGCAAATCATTACATTAAATTGTTACATTATGATATGGAATTTTCATCAAAAATGAGCAAAAAATGTATGTAATGTGTGGATGGAGTGTGGATGTTGAAATAAGATCCTATAAAACATTAGACCTAACCGAATTAGTGCTCAGTATCTTCATAGAACAAATACATGGTAAGAATCCTCTTTGAAGAAATGGATGAAAAGGTTTCAATTATTTTTATGGTATTAAACTACAAACCTATTGTCTATTTTTATCTATTTTATATATTTATCTATTTTTTTTTCTTTAAAACATCTATATATTTTTTAGTATGTCTGTATTTGTGTATAAATTTATATATTTATGTTTTTATATATTATGCATTATATATAAGTATGTATGTAGTTGGATATATATATTTACTTTATTTATTCCTACTTACTTGTATTTATTTTCATGTTATTTTCTTAATAATGCACCGCCCACTAATATCTGTTTACCTCATGGTCGACTGGGAGAAAATGCCTTATGGTGTTAAGTCTGCCATTTGCACCTTTATTATTTTTTGTATTTGTGCATTAAAGTTTTAATAAATAAAAATAAAAAATATATTTTAAATAGGTGTATGTTTTATGTATTTAGTATGTTTTATAAGATATAACACTAAACGAAAGGTCATTTATATTCCAGTCTTTGTTTTAGAGAAATATATGTAAAAAAAATCTAATTGGATGCAATATCACTATATTTATTAATACTTAATAATTAAGGATAAAAATTTACAAACTTTGTATGTCATATTTATTTATATTTAATCAACAGCCTAAAAAATAACTTTGAAGCTTCTAGCTTTAAAACGACGATACTTCTATACAACCTTTCGTCTCACGTTTCAACCCCTTGCAACCCTTTTTTCGCATTAATAAAACTATGTCTTTATATAACGTATACTTTCATTTCATTTATTGCTCCCAATGAAATCACATGAAAGATAATACATTTGAAGGATACTTAATTCAAAATGCAAAAGGACAGCGTATGCCTGAAGGATGCTTCCTTGCGTCCTGATTTACAACTTTATTATTTTGTGTTAATGTATAATTAACACACAAATATTTAGTGTAACAAATATAAATTGATATTATTAATTTCCGATTCTACCACAACACTATTTCCAAATCGTAAAAAGCTGTCAAACATAGAGATATCAAATGAGATAAAAAAAAAACTGACTAACCTTGAGCACTACTTTGGTTAGTATGCCTACAGATACTATGAAAACAGATTATAAACAAAAAAAAAAGCACATGGGTCTGTGTATTAAAAAAAAACGGGTTTAAATATGTACAGAGGTTATGAAATGACTACTCGTTACTTGCAGCAATATGCGGTTTATTGAGCAACGTTTACAACAAAATATATAATGTTTACAACAAGCACCTGTCAACTTAACACTAACATAGTATATTTATATAATAAAAAATACTCTGTGCAATAAAACAAGCTAGAGATCTAACAATGTACTTATATGTACTTGAGACCAAGGTATATGAGCACCGTATAGTATATAACGTTATATATAATTATACTAGATGTGCCTGCGACTTCGTCCGCGTGAAATACTGTCCTGAGATAGCATTTTTAATTATTTACACTAATTATTTTACAAAAAAAAAGACATGCAAGATATCTTTTTATCTTAAAAAATTATGAATGTCCATACAAACTTCCATCTCTTATTTTATTTAAGGTTAATTACCTTTAAGGATAAAAATTTACAAACTTTGTATGTCAAACTTATTTATATTTATCAACAGACTAAAAAATAGGTTTCAAGGTTCTAGCTTTAAAAATGACCATACTTTCATATAATATTGCATCGCCCCTTTCAACTCCTTACAACCCTTTTTCGCATTAATACAACTATGTCTTTTATCAGGGTGTAGACTGTCTGTATAACAAATTTCATTTAAATCGCCAGAACTGGCGTGAAAACGCAACAGACAGACAGACAGAGTTACAGACCTACGTATTTCTAATATTAGTAAGGATTATTGAAATTTGAATTGTGTATTATCACTATGCATATTACGTGCATAAGTTATTTATCAGAACACAAATATTGTAGGTCAGTGCATCAAAATAGTCATGCATTGTGCAGAGGGTCTTATTTAGCGTGGCAAGCGGTTCTAACTCTAAATATTTACTATTACGTTATAAAAATCTAATAAAAAATTAATTAAATTTACTTATATATCTACAAAACTGTATACATAACAAAAAACCGGCTCAAAAAAAAATGGGACCAATCTGTTAAATTATAGTGATAAGTTTCCTAAATATATATATCTGTGGAATATTGTTGTCTATGGAATGCTGTTATCTATGGTAAAAATGAATAAAGTACGGTTCTGTCTTGACATCTTCCTTCTTGTATCAATGGTCGGCCGAGTAACAAATTCAAAGAGTGTTTAATTATTATAATACCCATAAAATGCGACTTGCTCAGGTTTATTTCCATAGAATCTAAGAACAAAGTATACACTTTCAAATAAAAAAAAATCCTTCAAACCGCTATATAAATTATCTTATTTTTTATTTTATTTCACTTTCCGGTGGGTCTGGCCCGGGCCAACAAATCAAGAGTGGACTGATCTCATTGAGCTATATAAATGACAGAGGTATGAAATAACAAACATTAAAAAAATACCGCCGAACTGACAACGTCCTTTTTTTTTTGTCGGTTAATAAAAACAGAAATAATCGTTTTTATTATATATATATAAAAACGGTACATACTTGGTGTATGTACCGTTAACATTTTTTTAATAACATTTTTTACAATTTTTGTTTGTCTGTCTGTCTGTTTGACCCGGCTAATCTGAAATGGCTGGACCGATTTTAACGGGACTTTTTTTGGCAGGTAGCTGATGTAATAAGGAGAATGTAGGCTACTTTTATTTTAGAAAAATAATGTTCAATCCCACGCGGACGAATCGCGGGTACAGTTGGTTTTTAATAAATCTATACAAATAAATGTAATTATTAAATTTAAATGTAAGTAAACTGTCCGTTTGTAATTTAAAAAAGCAGCTAGCACCAGATGCATATAAAATATATACGATACTTACAAAAAAATATATTTCAAGTATCTTTGTCTGTTCTTGCTAATCTCTGAAACTGACCGATTTCTACGGGACTTTTATTTGTCGCAGTTAGCTAACATTACAATCAATAAATTGGGCTACATTTATTAAAAAATAAAACAAGTAAATCCCACGTGGACAAAGTCACAGGTAACAGCTAGTCATAGACAATGTTGAATTCAATTAGTTAATTCAACAAGCAACTTGTTCAACTTTAAGAACAATAAGTGAGCGATGTGTAGGTACATCCTATATAGTGTGACCTTAACAAACTTAGCGCGTACAGGTGCTGCCAATAAAGTAATCATCACAAACGAGCAGCGACTACTAAGCAATAAAATATGCGAATTAATTACTTGAACAATACACGATAAGTAGTACACAGATCCATGTGCCTCGCCGCTAACTATGTCAGTACGTGCCCCTGTTTCGATGCAGATGTTAAAAAAACACTGAGCAATCTCGAGGTCAATAATTGAGCAAAAAATAATACCTTTAATTTTGGATAATGTCATTGGAATGTGTGCATAACGCACCTTTTTATATGATAATTATATTTTTTTATATATATATTTAAATATTTTATGTTTGGTTCGATTTTTATTGTCAATTTGAAATATATGTCTTTTACCATCAGCGACCGTAAATTTCTCTTAAAACTAAAATTATAATATAAAATATATACAGTCCTTAAGAAACTATTAATAATTAAAAGAATGATTAAGAAGATATATCATCATTACATAGTATAAAATAAAGTCGCTGTCGCTGTCTGTCCCTATGTATGCAAATCTTTAAAACTACGCAACGGATTTTGAAGCGGTTTTTTAATAGATAGCATATGCTGGTGGTCACTCTATTCTCCCAAATTTGAATTTTAATAACTGTATTTATCATAAACATGTTCCACTATTATTTGAAAAAAAATACGAGCTGAGTTTCTTGTCAGTTCTTCTCATCTCGATATCATTCCGAACTGACGGTAGATTTGACATATCATAAGAGTCTGTAATAGACCTACATGAATAAAGATATTTTGAATTTGAATTTGATAGACTGATTCTAGAGGGAGGTTTATATATATATATATATTAAAAATGACTTGTTTTGACTTTTGTCATTTGTAAAATAAATAACAAAAGTCAAAACAAGTAATTTTTTATTAGTTATAAATGATTTAATAAATCAGTTTACCGAAATAAAGGCAAGGAGAGTGGTTATTTAATTTGAATTGTTTGTAAACGTTTTGAAAAAAGTGACAGTAGATAATTATGATGAATAAATATTAATTTTAATTTTATGCAATTTTTTTACTCAAGGGCCCTCCCTATCTCCCTACACTCAAAGGGAACCCTCAAAGGGCCCTCCCTCCCTCCCTACCCTCAAAGGGCCCTCAAACGATTTTTTATACGAGACCCCGGCAAGGCAGGCTACTAACAAATATTGCGGTGACCGTTGATAATGCGAAGAGAATATTTGGTGTTATTGTCGAGTTAACTAATGAGGTCAGATCTCCTAAACATGCACTAGCTTCTGATACTAGATTTCTACATAATTGAGATAAAGTAACGACTACAATAGCTGTTATCAACTTGTCAGCATATCTTGGCACTCGGCCAATACAGGGTAGCATGTTTGTTGTAGGAACTACTGATGCTATCGATTTCGAATTTAAAATAGTTATAAGTACTAGGGCCATAGATAATGAAAATAAAAAAAAATTACCTCAAGACGATACCAAATAGGGACACGAAACTTAAAAACAACAAGTGCGGCGACCATCGCACTTGGTGTTTTTTTTATTTAAAGTGATATCTGCCGTTTCCTTTGTGGGACATACTTTTGACCTATGTACCCTTGACCGGTAGTAATATGAAGGTTAGGGGAATGCTAGCAATGTGACTAATGACCCCATTACTAGCAATGCACCATGTCAGGTTAACCTCCACGCGGTTCCCCTGGAAACCATCGTGATAAATTCTTGGTGAATTTGTCACGTTGGGCTAACTGACCTGACCTCATGTTCATCTTATCATCCTGCACTGGTGCCCCGCCAGCGTAAACCGTTAGCGCAGGCGGCCACCATTCCATTATCATCCATAAAAAAAAACTATGTACCACATCAGAAGGACCTCCACGCTGTTTCCTGAAAACCATCATGATAAATTCCTGGTGAATTTGTCACGATGGACTAACTGTTACTGTATTTTTTCATTGGGTTGTTTGGACTATTGTCAGGTGCTTGGACCTGTAGCACTGCGACCTACATAGATCTATTGTGCTCGACCTTTTCAGAGTTCGCTACCTAGACCCGTCAGGGTCAAGAATTGAAGGATCTTGTTAGGAACTGTTACTGTAACTTGACCTTATGTTCATCCTGTCATCCTTAACTGGTGCCCGCCAGCGTAAACCGTTAGCGCAGACGGGTGCACTATTCCATTGTCATCCATTAAAAAGAAAACCCCTAATATGGGGTAGAAATAAATTATAAATACGTTCAGAAATTGAAGGAATCATATAAACCAACTGCATACACGTGAGCACGAAACTGATATAATTAAGCAGCATGAGAGAAATACTGTAGTCCAACTATAAGCTAGCGAAATTTAAAACTAATATTTGAAATGTTCATGATGGTGTGATGGTGTGGTGTGGTGTGGTGACGGTACTAGCCGAGAACGCACTTGCCCTGCTCCTGCGCCTGATCGTTCCAGTCGGGAGAGTACGCGGGCTTCGTCTGGTCCCGGTCCGCCTCCACCAACTCGCCGATCTTGTACTTGTTCATCATAGACCTGATGGAAGATGATATTCAATTAAATGAGAAATGAGAAACCTTAAGAATTCTCAATGAATGAATATAGTTACACCCGCCAGAACAGCTAGCTCTAGCGAGTGTAACATATTCATTGTCATTCAGTCATTCCTGAATGGGACCTCTGGGTCCCAGTGGAGAGTTATAAATAAATGGACAGAGATAGACGAAGTATTGTGGAAAAATAGGATGCGGATGAAATTACCTGGGATTCATGGTGGCAAATTCACAAGATGTATTAACGACCATGTGCAGATTAACTACATATATGCCCATAGACAAAATCTGTATTCTAGATACAGTATAGAAAGTGGAGTATCTTCACAATATCCGGAATATTGAATGATAGCCTGTAGATTGGGCTGACTGTACTGATTGTGTTGATCACTTTTGCATCGTTTCGTGTTGAATGAAACAGGAGTGACTATTTAATTATGTTAATAACGAAATGAAGCGAATTCAGTTGTATTGTTATTTACGAGTACGTTTGTACCTCATAAACACGTTCTTTATCTTCGTTTGAAAAAAAAAATATTTGAGAAATATTCTAAATAATAATAAAACACGATAAACTTATGATTATAAAGATTCAACTTGGTCTTATAAGAGGGGAAAGGGGATTGTTAGTAATGTGGATTGATGATCTTATTGCTAGCAATGTACCATGTCACGTTGACCTCCACGCGGTTCCCCCTGGTAACCATCGTGATAAATTTATGGTGAATTTATCACGATGGGCTAAGTTACCTGACCTCATGCTCATCTTATCATCCTCCGCTGATGCCCCGCCAGCGTAAACCGTTATCGTAGGCGGGAGCACCATTCCATTATTATCCATAAAAAAAAACTTATAATCTCAAAAGTCTTATAATCTTAAAAATCTATTGAGTAATTTAGTTATTAAATTAAAATCTCTGGAAAAAACATATCATTTTTGATGAAGTGCCCACAAATATAGTTTCAATAAACTGCCTGTATTCTGTACGATAAAGATCAGTTTGTTTTTTGGCACCAAATGTATTATGTTTGTTTAAAGTTCCACATAATGCCACGTCATCATCACGGTTGCTATCTGTACTGGAAGGGGCGAACACAAACTGTTTCATTGATTTCGTGTTATCAACTTTGATACATTATCTATGTTATCGAGCAAAGTTAACTAATTATATGTAGGTATGCAGACAATAATTAACTCCTTTCCTACTTAATGATTATATAATTTCTGCGGACTCTATATAAAATATTATTCATATAATATTTCTTTAAGAGTAAGAGGTGAAAAAAGGAACGGGGGCGACAGAAAATGAGATGGGGCGATGATATAAGGCCAGTAGTTGCATCGAATTTACGACGGCCTGAGCCGAGCTTCGAATCCCTAGCACTCAGACTAAAATCGTATCTTTCAGGCGGGAGTTGGCCTTCCGGCACTGCGAGAATTTACGCCGAGAGAGAGAGTTTAAGAGAGAATTTAGAGCCGAGTTTTGAAGCCATAGCACTCAGACTAATGTCGTATCTTTCAGGCGGGAGTTGGCCTTCAGACACTGCGAGAATTTACGCCGAGAGAGAGAGTTTAAGAGAGAATTTAGAGCCGAGGTTTAAACCCATAGCACTCAGACTAATGTCGTATCTTTCAGGCGGGAGTTGGCTTCCGAGCACTCCATAAGTCCTTCCTTTGATTTGGAGTGCCATCTCCATCATCCCGTATCGTCCGGTGAAGCTGTAAAGATCAGCTGCGGTCGACAGCATTAGAGTAATACGAAAAATAACTTACATGGACAAGGAAAGTATTGGAAAGAGGTGTGGAAATGGAAATTAACAAAAACAAAATTCATTTATCCATCAGAATAAAGGTCTTAAATTAAATAAAAAAAATTGCCCCAGCCCACGCAAGACTTGTACATAGTATTGGCAAAATAGTTTTAGTTGTATGCAGAAAAGAAATAAAATTACTAAAAATACACATCGCTAAAATAAGATCGCTGTTGCTGCCGAACATTCTAGAATTGTATATTTCATTATTAAGACTGAAGTGTTAAATGTTTAATAGACAATTTTTTATTATGTTACTCAATTAACTATTTATTTACTTATGTCAAGTTTCCTAGTTTTCAGTAGATAGTATTTAAACAAATTTCTTATAAATGTCATTCTAAACAAAATATCTTTAAAAGAGCAACACGCAAGTTTATTGCTCATTCTTCTTGTGACGAGTCTGCGTTCTGAATGAGTGGTAGAATAAAAAATATATGACTATTCAAAAGTGCTTTAATTTGAATAAAGTTTCTACAGTTACTTTGACCGGAATAGATCAATTCATTATTCATTGACGTCATTCTTGTGTTATTCAGATAGAGAACTTGCATTGCAAATCGGCGCAGTATAACAGGGTTGGGTGACTTCCTAATGGACTTCGGAGATCAATACGCGGTTTAGTCGCCGAAGAGTCAACACTAGGCTTCCAAGGTATATCCTAACTTTATTCAACGCTTGATGATGATCATGCCTCGTTCAGAGGCGAAACATGTGTTGCAATATGGGTGTAGACTCAATAACTGTCGGAATTTAATCGCTATTAGAGAAGGTCGTAACGGTAGTCAAGTTTCCACACCGAATATTTGTGGTCTCACACATGCTAATTGTAGCGGAATTAAACAAAATAATATAAATACATTAAACTGTGAAATGGACTTACGCAAAATAACACGTAATTCTATTAAATGTAGGGTTGGGGTTACTCTCAAATAGTTAACTGGAGTCTGAACTGAGGCTGAGATGCAGCGTCTGTCCAGAGCAATAACAAGATTACTCTCAAACAGTTATCTGGCGTCTCAACTGTGGCTGACATGCTGTGTTTGTCCAGCGTCACCAAGTCATTCGGGACAGGGCGACAGCCAGGACAGCCTCGGCGAGCTAGATTATTAATCTCAACTTTTAAATTGATTGCCCTCAGTAAGCTGCCTGACGACAGCCCGCTTCGGTCAATTAAGTAATGGGGTGAAAACCAATGACGCTGTGGTGTTTCACCCCAGCAGTAAACCCGGGTAAAGAGCGTAGACTCGACGCCCGTACTCGACGGCCCAGAGGTCTCGCAAAGACCATTTCATTCATTTTCAAATAGTTACCTGGCGTCTGAACTGTGGCTGACATCTTCGAAGGGCTCGGTAGCGTCCTGCCCCGCCTTCTCTAGTAGCACCTCCTCGCCACCAGGGTGCTGTTGTTAAATAATAAATACAATCGTTATTTTTAAAGACATTTTAGTTAGTCCGATTTATTTACTTTCCCTTTTTATTTGATACATTATTCTGATTAGAAATAGTGTCGCTTCTCCCTTTGGTAACGATTACAATAGAATTGTAGGTCATCATTTCTCATATTTAAACAAAGATCATGAGTGGTACTATAACAGAGTCATAGTCATATAACAGAGTCATCATAACATTTGCTATATCAGGAAATTGAACCTGCTCGCCGGCTTGAAGCAGGCAGGATAACATTTAAATAATCAATCAGAAACATATTATTTTTACATACTTTATTCATGCTCATGCTTCAATTTCATGATAGTTGACTAAACCGTGAAAGTATGACAAAAAACCAAAACAATTAATAAAAATAAAAATATCTCAAAACAATACACACAGCGCTATCTAGTCTCAAGTTAAACAGAGCTTGTGTTAAGGGTACTAGACAACTGATAGAAATATTGAGATTATGTTTTTTTATTTTTCATACATAAATAATTATATGGTATATTTGATTTAGGTAAGTACTTATTATATATATATATACTAGCTGTCCCGGCAAACGTTGTTTTGCCTTAAAATAAAAAAAAAAATTTGGGGTGGACTACCCCTAACATTTAGGGGGATGAAAAATAGATGTTGACCGATTCTCAGACCTACTCAATACGCTCACAAAAATGAGAATCGGTCAAGCCGTTTCGGAGGAGTATGGGAACGAAAACTGTGACTCGAGAATTTTATATATAGGATATTCATATATATCTATAGCTTTATATATATTGTATGTATTTGTATATGCATGTTTGTACATGTTACTATTAGTAAATATATATTATTTATGACATAGGTATTATTTTTCATATTGATTACATTTGCACCGCCTACAGTTTCTCTGCACAACCTGTGGTTGACTGGTAGAAAATGCCGTAAGGCGTTAAGTACGCCATATGTACTTTTACCTTGGTATTTTGTGCATTAAATTTATATAAATAAATAAAATACATAGAAAACAAGCAAAAAGATACAAACAATTATAGTCATGAATACAGAACTTTACATTTCCACCGTACGAGGAATCGAACCTGCTACCAACTGAAGTATAGCTGTGTCCTGAACCGCTAGACCACCAAGGCCAATTTATAACTTTTCTTATAACTACTAGACCCGGCCACGGGTAGCTGTGGCTAAGGTTTTTGAATAAAATAATATTGCAACTATAAATTGAGATGTAAGCTATCCTATCTTTCAAGTTGGACCAAATCAAATTTGCAATTAGTTCAGTAGTTTAGGAGTCCATCGCGGACAAAGAATCTGACACGTAATTTCTATAATATATAAAGCTGCATTACGGTGACTCACTCACTGATTGACATAGTTGTTCTCCCAGAAGGAGCGTCCGGGGGTCGAGACGATGTATGGGGGAAATGTTCCTTTGGCTAGGGTGACCACGAGAAAATTCCGAAATTTGGGAAAATCCAAGATGGCGGACAAAGATGGCGGCTAACTTTTACAGTTTCGCTCGGATCGATTCCGTTCAAAGAGTGATTTGGCACGTCTCGGCGGGACCCAGAATATGGCGTAAAAACAAAAAATTAAAATCCAAGATGGCGGCGAAAAAATTGCCAAAAACTGGTTGAAAATTTTCTAGGGTTTCAAAAACCGAAATTCCCAGGGTAGTTGCGGGGGTGCTGGCGACACCGGTTGTAGGGCATAGGAAACTCGAAGGACCCGACCTCTAGGGAAAATTATGAAATTTCGAAAATCCAAGATGGCCGACGAGTTGGGGGCGTGTGAATTTGGTCCTAAAAATCCGGATTATTTTCAAAATCATTTTTTAGGTACAGGGCAACCCCGCAGCGAGTCGGCTTCTATGGGGCGATGATGGGTCTCGGTAAGAAGTATTGCCAGCGATAAAAAGAATTTCCGAATTTAGGGTAATTTGGGAGAAATGTCCCAAAAAGTGGGAAAAAATTTTTTCGGCATTTTTGACAAAAGAGGCATCAAGGCCTATCGAGAAACATCCCCTAAAGGGTTTTAGGTGGGTTTTGTTGGAATTTGCTGGCAACACCCATACATGGTTTGACCAAAATAGAAATTGGGGTGTCTCTCCAAAAACTGAAATTCCTAGGGTACTTGCGGGGGAGCTACCGATCCCTATTATAGGGCATTGGGAGGCTGAAAGACCCGGCCTCTAGGGAAAATTATGAAATTTCAAAAATCCAAGATGGCGACCAAGCTATGGGAGATTTAGTTTTTGGAAAAAATTTGGGATATTTTCAATCGAGTTTTTGCTGCACATGGCAACCCTGCAGCTAAACGCCACCTACTGACATGGGTAAGTCTGAGTAAGAAGATTTGCCAGGTCTAAAATTTTTCCCCGATTTTGGGTTAATTTTGGAAAAAAGTCCCATAAAGTGGGAAATTTTTTTTTTGACATTTTAAATGAAGAACTCGTTTTGGTCTACTACAAATCGTCCCCTGAAGGGTTTTAGGTGGATTTCTTCAGAATTTGCTGGCAACACCCATACATCATCGGACAAATTTTGAAATTGAGGTCTAGCTTCAAAAACTGAAATTGATAGGGTACCTACGAGTATGCTAGCTCAACGCACTGTACGGCGTCGGATAGCCGAAGGACTCGGCCTCTAGGGAAAATTATGAAATTTTAGAAATCCAAGATGGCGGCAGAGATAGGGGAGTTTTGCTTTTCGGAGAAAAATTGGGATATTTTTAAATGTAGTTTTAGGACACTTGGCAACCCCACAGCCAGTCGACTACTATGGAGAGATGATGTGTCTCAACACAAAGTATTACCTGGTATAAAAATTTTCCCCGATTTTAGGGTAATTTTTGAGATAGGTCCTAAAAAGTGGGAAAATTTTTTTTGGACATTTCAAACAAAAGAATGATGAAAATCTGTCAAAAACAATCCCCCTATTGAGTTTAGGTGTTTTTTGTCAGAATTATCTGGCAACACCTTACATCAGTTTTCTTAGAGAATAGAACTAGAAGGAGTCGCTGAGGCTCTATACAATGTATGAACGAAATGTTTCTGTCACTAGGGTGAATATGTCAAAAGTATTAAAAAGTAAAAATCTAAGATGGCGGCCGAGTTAGGGTACTTAATTTATGTTGACAATTTTAGGGACTTTTTAAAATTCAATTTTGGGGTACAATTAATCCCTGACGCGAGTTGACTTCTATAGAGCAATGGAAACTCTCGGTGGAAAATTTTACCTGGTCTAAAAATTTTCCCCGATTTTGGGGTAATTTCGGAGAAAAGTAAAAAAACGTGGGAATTTTTTTTTTCGTTAATTTGAACAAAACAGTGATGAGCATTGGTTCAAAATCATCCCCCAAAGGATCCTAGGTGGTTTTTGTCAAAATCATCTGGCAGCACCATACATCGATTTTCATAGTAAACCGTACTAAGGAACTAGAGGTGTAACCTGGGCTCTGTACAATGTATATATGAAGTGTTTCTGTCACCAAAATGTATGTGTTAAAAGTATTTAAAAAGGAAAAATCCAAGATGGCGGCCGAATTAGGATACTTTATTTATTATGACAATTTTAAGGTCTTTTTAGTAAATTCAGTTTTGTGGCACCTATCAACCCTGCAGCGAACTGACTTCTATTGAGGAATGGAAACTCTCGGTGCGAAGTATTAACTAATTTTCATAGTAAACAGTACTAAGGAAGTACTAGAAGGAGTCACCTTACATCTGTACAATGTATGGACAAAATGTTTCTGTCACCAAAGTGGATAAGTTAAAAGTATTTAAAAAAGGAAAAATCCAAGGTGGCGGCCGAGTTTGAGTATTTTTTCTCTGATGATAAATTTACCTGGCTTCCCTGCAGCGAGTCGACCTTTATTGAGCCGTGGTAGATTTCGGTTCGAAATATTACCTAGGTTACAAATGTTCCCCGTTTTTTGGGTAATTTTGCAAACCCAAAATGTGGGATTTTTTTTTCGACAAACTATATATAAGAGCAACGGAGATCTATAATAAATATCATTTTAATAGTTATATGCGATTTTTTGTAAAATTAGGTGGCAACACCATGCATCGATTTTCGTAAAAAGTAATATTTACTAAGGACCCACTAGAAGGATCGTGTCTCTGTACAATATATGGACGAAAAAGGAAAAATGGTATGAAAATTTTCCCCGATTTTGGGTAATTTAGAAGACAAGTCCAAAATGTGGGATTTTTTTTTCGATATTTCAAACAAAATAATGATGGATATCTGTCAAAAATCATCCCCTTATTGGTTTTTGTCACAATTATTTGGCAACATCTTAGATCAGTTTTCTTAGGGAATAGTACAAGAAGAAGTCACCGAGACTCTACATAATGTATGGACGAAATGTTTCTGTTATTAGGGTGAATACGTCAAAAGTATTAAGAAGTAAAAATCCAAGATGGCGGCCGAGTTAGGGTACTTTTTTAAATTCAATTTTCAGGTACCCATCGTCACTGCAGCGAGTTGACTTTTATGGAACAGTGGAAACTCTGGGTACGAAGCACTATCTGGTCTAAAAATTTTCCCCGATTTTAGGGTAATATCGGAGAGAAGTAAAAAAAAACGTGGAATTTTTTGTTTCATCATTTTAGACCAAACAATGATGACGATCTGTCAAAAATAATCCCCAAGGGGTCTTAGGTGTTTTTTGTTAAAATGAGCTGGCAACACCATATATAGATTTCCATTGTAAACAGTACTTAGGAACTACTAGAAGGAGTTACCTTGGCTCTGTACAATGTATGGACGAAATGTTTCTCACCAAGGTGTATATGTTAAAACAACTATTTAAAATGGAATCATTCAAGATGGCGGCCGAGTTAGGGTACTTTATTCCCGATGACAAGTTTAGGGACGTTTTAAAACTCATTTTTGGGGTAGTATTTTATTTCTTACAGCAAGTTACTTCTATGGAGCAAAGACGTGAAGTATTATATAGGCTA